ATCATAATGTGCCGGGTAGAAGGGTAAGGCACAAAACCATACCCCCATTATTACCAAATGTGAGCTTGTATTTTTATATATATATATATATATATATATATATATATATATATATATATATATATATATATATATATATATATATATATATATATATATATATATGACAGGGGGACCAAGGAAGCCATGCCCCCCTCCCCCCCTAGAGATAAATAAATAGAAACACTTTTACCTACTTTCGCCAAAATACACAAAAACAAATCAATTGTATTAATTAGTTTTACAGGTGACTATGCATTTAACCAGTAAAATTAATTTTACTTTCTATTTACTCATTTTGTCTTCAAACAGTAGATAAAGGTTTGAACCCTATTGAAGACTTTGTAGGATTTTGCCTGTTGAAAAATATTAAAAGTGATACTATTGTACTTGTTATCAAAGATGTTCTCATTAGAACTAACTTAAGTTTCGATAATTGTTGGGGTCAAACCTATGATGGCGCATCTAATATGATGGGGAAGAAATCTGGAGTATCAGATCAAATTCTTACTGAACAGCCAAAATCTGTTGCCATACACTGTCAAGGTCATTATCTTAGTTCAACTCTGAAATCGCTACTATTAAATGTGACATTTTGCAAGATACCTTGACCGTTCAGGTGAAATGTATTAAGAGAGTAATTGATAACTAAAAATCACTCTTGCAACCTTGGGACAAATGCATTAAAGAGAAACTTGAAGAAGAGACAAAAGCACAAATCGTTGTTATAAGCTTTACGTCATGACTGATAACTTGTAAAAATACCTTCTATTGACAAAGATGTCGGCAACTAGTTGAAAAAAATCTGCATTTTTTTTTTAATTTGTTATTTATTTGCCCTAAGAAATTCCTAACAGTTTTGTCACAGAGCACCATGGAAGTGCATTTAACCAGGAAGTTCACGGCTCCTTCTTTACCGTGATGCAAAAAATGTCCAAAGCTCGTTTGAACCTGGATCTCTTGCTTATAAAGCAAGAGCTCTAACCACTGTGCCACGGCCGCACTGCATACGACCATATTTAGTGATGATACAATAAAAAAATATGAAAAAATGATGACGACTTCCATTTGTTTTTTGCCGAGGTTAAGAAAGCAGCAAGTTCAATGAAATCAATTTAAAAATCCACTTTGCCAAGGAAACAAAAAAAGTCAATTCATTTAATTTTTTCAATATGCTGTTGGTTATGAAGAACAAACAAGCAATGTCTACTACCTAGAAACAGCCAATGATTATTTTCAGCTAATATATTTTAAAGCACTTGACACAATTAATAATGCAATAGAAAATCAATTTGAACAACCAGCATTTAAGAAGTTTATGAACGTTGAAAAACTATTTTTGAAAGCCATTAAGCCTAGACGGATCTATAAAAGGAGCTTTAGGTTTTAAAATCTGATTTAAATGGAGATTTCAATTGGAATCAAATAGAAAGTGAGCTTCATCAGCTATTTTTAAAAAGTCTATGCCAATTGATTTTAAAAATACTTACCTTTGAATATTGATTAGAAAACACTTCAGAACATTGATAAAGAAAATCTCCTATCATCTAGAATATTAGGATCGTTATCCAATTTGTGTTTTAAAAAGTAAGAGGTAGAGGTATATTGGCCACACCAAAACGCTCTTTTTTAATGCAAAGGAGGGTCAAAATGTGACTCGGATGAAAAATGGCTTAAAAAAGATATAATTTCTTGTCAGTGCTAAATACGCACATAGATACTTTTGATACTATCTTTAATTGAAATAGCTGACCTTAATTAGATTTTTCATCTCATTTTTGCAATTTTATCAGTATTTGAATAAAATTTTGATCAAAATTTTTGTTTTCAAAATTGGGGTAAAAAGGTTTTTCTAAAACTTCAAAAACATTTGAATTTATGATAAATATTACATTTTGCCCCTACCCTACCCCCCCCCCAGTATAATTGCAGGTTGTGGCCTGTGTATACATATATATTTTTTTTATTATTTAGGTGCCCCAAAAAGTCCTAACGATCTTGTCACAGAGTACTGCAGAAGTGCATTTAACCAGGAAGTTGCCTGGTTAGATGCACAAAAAATAAAAGGAGAAACCTGTTCTTAAAACACGGATAATTAAATACATAAGAATTTTTGCAATTTTGGAAAACTTTTTTAATACGGCTTAAATAAATTTTTGTAGCTAATGAAAATGTAATCCAAGTTTGAAATAAAATATAGTAAAAAATTTATTGCCATCTATCACATTTTGCCTATCATCATCTATCGCCATACACCTGAATCTATTTTTACTTATTCTTCTGCTATTTAAAAAAAAACCTTGTAATTAAACTTTAAAAATTTTTATTAACCGTAAAACAAAATTGAAAAGTAGATTAAAAAAGAATAAGTTTTTAAACTTAGAGTTAAGGCTGTTTGGAAATAAGTTTTTAGACTTAGAGTTGAGGTGGTTTGGAAATAAGTTTATAGACTTAGAGTTGAGGCGGTTTGGAAATAAGTTTTTAGACTTAAAGTAGAGGCAGCTTGAAAGTGCTTTAACAACCAAAAGAGAATTAGTTACAGAATCCACAAAAACACAATAATTATAAATCACATTAAAGGTGACATCGTCTTACCTTAACAATAGTTAGGTCATACTCAGCAACAGTTTCTACACGAATAAATACTTTTAAATCACTTTCTTTAATTGAGTTTTGTTTAGATTTAGTAGGAGAAGCAAACACTGCAACTGGAAACTGTCCACCAAATAGTTGGTTGTCAATTTGTAATATTCCTAAAAGTATTATTCATATGATAACAGTATAAAGAATTGTTTTTATATTTATTTTATTAGTTTTTATAAATATCATTACTAATTTAAACAAATAATAATAACTATTTTTATAAATTGAAAATATTAATAAAACAGTAAGTAAAATTTTTTTAATTAAATTTATTATTTAGTAAATAATTTAATAATAATAAAAAGAGAAAATTTGAAATACTACAAAATACCAATTTTAATATCCAGAGTTTGAATAAAAGAAGAGAAATCATACAAAAACTCTATTTGTGAAAGTGATATAAAAAGAAGTTCTTCAGGGCCAAAATTAATCACTGATATTCCGAAACCTCCAACTAATGACATAATAATCTACATAAAAAAATTTATAAATAATAATTTACATAGAAAATATTAATAATTAATAAAAAATTTAAAAATAATAAAAAACTTTCAAAAAAAGACAGATTTTTATAATACAACTTCTGGTTAAATAAGATGCGCAAACACAGAGTTTAATTTCATGATACACTGCTTGATATACCATAGGATCACCTATTACTATAGTATTACCTGTTTTGACCCACAATCTAAATTACTATTAAATTACTATTAAATAAACTTCAAATTAACTCCAAATTATCAATAAACAATTTATTAAATCAAAAAATTAAGTTTAAAAATGAGTTGAAGAAATACCTCTGTAGATGGCTGCCTATTTACACGATAAAAATTGGAATGAGTCTTTTCTACAATTTGCCAGGTATCATCACCAGCTTCTTGCTCAGAATCAATGATTTCAATAACTTGGGTAGGGCCATAAGTATGCACAGTTACTGACAGTATACCAGATCCAGGTCGTAATTTCTGTCTTGTTATACAACATTTAGATAAATGTTCTTCATGATCACCACGTGGTTTTGGCCCTAATATTGCAATAGATTTATTAGCAAGGCAACCATAAGGTTGAACAGCAATGCCCTGCAAGCAACACACCAACATATTTGATTCAAAAAACCAAGTTTGTGTGTTGTTTCTATGTTCATTACTTGGATTAAGAACAAGTCGCAGAAGCTTCAATCCTTCATGGACAACTTCTTCAACATCTAATACTAAGCAATTTGTTGTAAACTTTGTCTTATCTTTTGGGGATGAAACGAAATGAATCAATCTTCCTTCAGCTGACATTCTCCACAACTGTGATCGCTTGTGTTCAACTTTTTCAGCAAGAACTACAAATTTGCCATCAATGACATCTAAAACCAAATTTTGTTTGTTTCCTCCATGTTTATGAATGGTGCAACTAAAAGAAATTAAGTCTAAAAAATTGTCTTAAAATCACTTTTCCAATATTGTAATAAACTTATTCAATATAGTCAAAATTATTTTACAAACATCACCTCCCATTTATCTCCCATATATTCCATCACCTCCGATCTATCTATAATAGGCAACCAGTGGAAACTACAACCAGTTAACCGGTTTTTTGTTCAGTTTCCTCGAAACTAAAAACCATTTTATTTTTTCTAAAAAAACTGCAAAGCCGGTCATTAATTATATATTACTAAATTAATGTGGAAAACACAAATATTGTGAAAATATATATAGTTTTTAAAAGCACTTTGTTTATTGCATTTAGTTTTACTTATTTCAATGTTTTTTCTAAAAATTATTAATAGTTTGTGATGATATTGAATTTAGTTTCATTTATTTCAAAATTTTTACTACCAATTATTAATAGATTACATATTGATAAAATCTTTCAACAATATCTAAATTTATAATACTAAACAAAATCTAAATTTATAATACTAAACAATATTTAAATTTATAATATTAAATACTTATAATAATCAAAAATAGTAAAGACAAGTACCAGCTTGAAGTATTTTATCAACTTTTTTTTGTTGTTGATGTTTTTGTTGTTTTTTATTTCTTTTATTGTTTAATTATATGTTATTTTTGTTTTAATTATTTTAATTTGGGAAATTTAAATTTGAGAAAGTTAAATAACAATCTCAATGTAAAATAATTAAACAACAAAAACAAATTGGTTGTTAAAAAAAAAGTTTTTTTTTAATTTTGTATTATAAATAAAAGTATTATAAATCATAGTATATTTTTACATGACACTTTTGTAAACAGATATCATGCATAATATTCAGTTAAGAATATTCAGTTATGAAGAGTGTAAAAATAAAAAATAGGTTATTGAGTTGCCGCAAAAAATAAAGGAAAGGAAAAAAGAGGCTTAAAAAAAAAGACGCTTCAAGTTTATTAGATTCAAACTAAATTAATAATGTATAAAAAAATATATATTTATTTGTTTAATAATATATGAAAAAATTTTTTTATTTTAGCTCAAGTATGAAAAATTTTCTTTAGTTTACAGATCTAACTTCAGTATATCAATTTTGTAGGTTACATTGAATTTATACTGCTATAATAAAAATCCACTTTTATAAGAAAAAAATGGGTGTAAAACCGATTACCCGGTTCTAAAAAACTTTTTAAACAAAAACCTTTTTTTTGAAATTTTCAGGTTTTTGCCAAGACCTAACCCATATCTCTTCCAAATAATCACTAAACTTCCTATCATCTATCATACATTTTCTCCCACTAATTCTCCAATTATCAATCCCTACATCACCTTCCATCAATCCCTACATCACGTACCATCAATTCCTATATCACCTTCTACCTCAAAAAACTGTTTTTTGTACATACTCTAATTTTTAAAACAATTTTTCAAAACATAATGTTTGATAATATAAACATAATATTTTTTATTTATTTGTTTGGTTTATTTCCAAACACACCACACAATATACTTTTATTTTATATACTAATAAATGTGTATACCAAAAAAAGTAAAAGTATATGAATATAAAAGTATTTTAAATTCTACACTCACCTCCACAAGCCACCAGGCTTAAACTCTACATTCACCAGCCGTCACCATATAAAAGTAGTTTAAATTCTACAGTCCTCTCCGCACTTCACTAGGGAGCCATTATAGTCATGATACACATTTTTTTATTAATTAACTTTTTATTGTTCTTACACACCATTATTCATTCATCCCTATCTCCAGCCTACAACTCCACCCTATCTCCACATTATCTCCACCCTACAACTCCAATAAAGCAACTTGGACAAACGCCTTTGAAAGTAATGTGTTTAACATATTTTTTCTGTATGGAGAAACAAGTTAGGCACAGTACTTTAATAGACATGGTAGGTTCCAACAACTCACTTGAGAAGAAAGCACTCTACCACTATACCATCATATAATACAGAATAAGAATAAAACTAACTTAAATAACAAGTAAATACTTAAAAATTTATTTTTAAATTGTTCATGATCAAATTTGTAAGATTATAAACCTAATCATAAAGAAATAATAATAAATCATAAACAATTATGAATTAACATTAATACAAATATGAACAAATGTTGTAAAAATTATTATAAGTTATAAAATTAATAAGTTATAAAAAAATAATAAATCTATAAAATAAAATTACTCAAACAAAAAAAAACACTAACCCATTAAAGGTATGAGAGAAAGCAATGAATATAGCATTTTGGTAATATAACTTGTTTAAATTTCTTCCTGATTGTCTCAAATTGTAAGTTTCTGATGTTTCTTGATAAACGCTGAGAGTTAAAAGAGGTGGCATAAGTGGGTCATGTAAAACATATGGTTTTGAGTCATGCGCTTTAATAAAAGAATGCAAGTTAATGTTGCTGAGGTGAGCCTGCCAATACATCAAAGTGACATCAGTTTTATTAACAATAATATAAGGAGATGGAAAGCGAGCACCATTAGATAATATACACCGATATGTTCCTGACTGTAAAGCAATATCAGCATGTATTGTGTAGCTATACTGTTTTTTGGGGAAAAACAAATTCAAGTGATAAGATGTCTCAGTTGTCATTCCAAACCCTCCAGACCAGGCACAAACATCTTCATTCTCAATGCGCAAGCAAACTATTTGATCAAGGTCAGAACGAGGCCAATGAAAAATGCTCACTGCTCCTGGATAACATTGAATCATATCTGGATGAATTTCATTACTGTCATTTAATGTTAAATATTTCTGTGCCACTATAATAACCCATTCTGTTTGGTTATCAATTTGAAAACGAGGCACAAAAGAGACAATACGAGTTTTTGCAAAAACGCTTTCCCCCCAAACCACATTTATACTAACATCAAATGTTTTTTCTGGTTTATCTCTACCACAGCGAACATATAAAGTACGATGGTCGTAATCTTTTTCTAAGGAAAAAGGTTTACACCACAATGGTTGTGTACACAAGTCTGATTGATACTTTTTACCAACTCTCATTTGGCAATTATTTGGCTGATCCCTTTGGAAATAAGAAAACAGAAGCGGGGTTAAACTACGAGCCTCTTCATGTTCTTCAAATTGACCAGCAACTTCATCCTGATCCTCTTCTCTTTTAAACAAAAGTGGAATACCAGTTTTGTTGATCAAGCAGTAGGGAGCTATTACAGATATCTAAAAAAAAAAAAAAAAATTTTAAAACTTGGAGTAAAAAGGTTTTAAGTATATGTTATATTTGATTGATTTATTTTAAACAATACCTTAACTGTGTCACATTTACATGAAACTAAAACATTAAGCATAAGTAACCGCATTGAAGAATCATAAACACGAGCATATTGAATAAAAGTTACACCATCAATTGGTATTTTAATTGAATCAGATGTTTGAAAGTTTTCAAATGTAAATTCAATATCAATTGAGGAGCTCCTATCATTTATCTGAAAGGGAACAGTTTCTCCAGGTTTAATTAGTTCTTTTTTTGCTGTACCTCGAAGCAAATAAAAAAGATCAAATGGTAGACAATTTTGCAACAAAATATGATAAACCAAAGTGATCTGGTGTTGAGGTTGTTCATGAAATTCATTAGAAGAATTAGGCAAGCGAAAGCATGAAATTAATGCACAAAACCTAATAGACAATTACAACAGTTAAAACAGAAAACAAAAATTTATTAATTTTAAAACTACTAAAAGTTCAAAAATACAAAATACAATGAATCATGTTTATTAAGCACAAACAAGACAGGGATTGGGACTGAATTTAAAAAATTGACCTAAAAATTTTTGGAAGTTCAGTTACAGTTAGACATTCGTATAAAGAACTTTTTTCATCACTAGTGAAAACAGATCTCCATGCTAAGCTCTCATAGCAGTACTGGTATTCATAGTTTGATTCTAGTGGTCTACAATATATGTCTCCAGTTACCATTGGCAAGGGAACAGAATAACAAACTCCAGCATCAAGAGTTGTGAGGTTATATTGCTTGTGATTCAAAACTATTATTACATCAACAGGTACAAAAAGTTTATTGTGAATTGTGAGAGCTGATTTGACAATTATCACTTTTTGTGAATTTACTAGCTGTATATCAAAAATCACATAGACTCCATTAACAATGCCCTAAAATTAAATAGTAAAAATAAGTAAACTATATATAAATATAAATATTTATATATATATATATATATATATATATATATATATATATATATATATATATATATATATATATATATATATATATATATATAAATATACACATACATATATATAGTTCTAAAGTTAAGCAAAAGTTGTATATAAAGTATTTAAAAACGAGAACATTAGAAAGTAAAACAATTTATAAGAATTACGCTAAAAAATTTGAAATGCAAAGAAAAAATTTAAAAAAAAGATACTACATTAATTTACTAGAAAAATATAAAGATAATTCAAAGCAAACATGGCAAGTTTTAAGAGAAATTACAGGCAGTAAGAAATTGATAGCTAGCTCTTTACCTAAAGCTATTAAAATTGATAATAAAATATTTGATGATCCAGGAGTGGTAGCTAATAAAATGAATGAATTCTTTACTTCAGTTGGACCAAATTTAGCAAAAAAAATTTCAAACATAAACAAAACAATAAACAGATGTAGTTTTCCTTTAATATCTTATCTAAATTCTTTTGAATTGTCTTTTGATGAATTTGATAGAGCTTTTAAAATGCTAAAGTTAAATAAAGCAGTCGGTCCTGATGATATCAATGGAAACATTGTCATTGATTCATATGATATCATAAAAAATATCCTTTTTAAAATATTTAAATGCTCAATTCAACAAGGAATTTTTCCTGATGAATTAAAAATAGCTAGAGTTTCACCAATATTTAAAGGTGGAGACTTACTTAATGTTAGTAATTACCGCCCAATATCTGTTCTCTCTGTTTTCTCAAAGATTATAGAGAGAACTCTTTATAATAAAATTTTTAATCATATTTCTCAAAATAATATCCTATACAAAAATCAATATGGGTTTAAAAAAAATAACTCCACTGAACACGCTATACTCCAAATAACACAATATATTACTGAATCATTTGAAAGTTCCAAATTTACTTTAGGCATTTTTATTGACTTGTCTAAAGCCTTTGATACGATAGATCATAAAATTCTCTTTAAAAAACTTAAATATTATGGAATCTCTGGCAATGTTTTGAAGCTTTTAAAAAGTTATTTAAGTAATAGAAAGCAATTTGTTCACTATGACGTATCATCAAAATCAAACTTGTTAGATGTAACATGCGGAGTTCCTCAAGGGTCTGTCCTAGGACCTCTCCTATTTCTCATTTATATAAACGACCTTTATGAAGCATCTAATTTAATGACAATTATGTTTGCTGACGACACGAATTTTTTTCTATCTCATGGTAACATAATTACCCTATTTCAAAGTATGAACATAGAATTAATTAAAATTTCAGAATGGTTTAAATTAAATAAGCTTTCTCTTAACATTGAAAAAACAAAATGGTCTCTTTTTCATCCATACTACAAAAAACATCTTCTACCAAGTGAATTGCCTGCTCTTTTTATAGATGACATTCAAATTAAAAGAGTAACGGCTACAAATTTTTTAGGGGTTTTTATTGATGAAAATCTGACATGGAAAAAACATATTGAAAACTTATCCTCTAAAATTTCCAAAAGTATAGGAATACTATTTAAAATAAGAACCATGCTAAATAAACATACTTTAATTCAGCTTTACCACTCTTTTATTCATTGCCATCTAAACTATGCTAATGCGGCTTGGGGTAGTGTAAGGAAAACTAAATTAGAACCACTTTATCGCCAACAGAAACATGTTGCACGACTTATTAATTTTAAACATCGATTTTATCATGCTAAGCCTCTTTTAAACGAAATGAATATTCTTAATATATATCAACTTAATATTTTTAATGTATTGTGTTTTATGTTTAAATGTAAGTCTCGCACATCTCCAATTTCTTTTCACAATTTATATTCTTTAAAAGTTAAAAATAAATACAATTTGCGTAATGAAAATTTTATTCTTCAACCAGTTTTCAAAACTAATTTTGGTAAATTTTGTATTTCATTTAGAGGAGCATTTTTATGGAACAAAATAGTGTTAAAACTTTTTGATTTCTCTCTTGAATGGAACTTTTTCTTATTTAAAAGAAAATTAAAAGAAATTCTTTTCTCAGTTGAAAACATTCTGATATATTTTTAAGTTTGTTTTGTTTTTTATTAATACTCTTAAGAAATATTTTATTGTAATTTATATATACGAAATCTTTTATCTTAACTTATATATATATGTATGTATATGTATGTGTGTGTGTGTGTGTATATGTGTATGTATATATGTGTATATGTATGTATGTATGTATATATATATATGTTATATATATGTATATATGTATATATGGATATATGTATATATATATATGTATGTGTGTATGTATATTTATGTATGTACGTATATATGTATGTGTATTTGTGCGTATTATATGTATGTGTATATATATATATATATTGATGTGTAAGTATATTTATTTACATGTTTGTATGTTTAAATATGTATAAATAATTATATTTGTATTTATGTGTGAATATTTGTCTATGAATTATTAAAGGATTATTTATTATTTAAAAACTGTTTAGGCGGTTCTCGATGACAAGATCTTATGATCTTCTGCGAGTATCCGCATTCTTGTTGTAACGTTAACAAAATTGTAATTCTGAAATTGTAATATATATATATATATATATATATATATAATAAATATATACACACACACATATATATATATACACATATATATAAATATACACATACATATATATATATATATATATATATATATATATATATATATATATATATATATATATATATATATATATATATATATATATAAATATACACATACATATATATATATATATATATATATATATATATATATATATATATATATATATATACACATACATACATACATACATATATATATATACATATATATATATATATATATATATATATATATATATATATATATATATATATATATATATATATATATATATATATATATATATATATATATATATATATATATAGTATAATCTAATCAAAAACATTTTAATTTAAATCAGCGTTTTGTTTTATTTTATTGTATTTTTGCAACAACCATGCAAAAAAAAAACCATTTTAGAGGAGTGTGGGCAAGATGTATGTATGTATATTAGAGTGTTTCATTTCCAACAATTTTTCGAAAATGGTTACATTACATGCATAACGGGGTAAATAATGTGCCAAAAAAAAGTCTAAAAAATTTTTAAAATTTTAAAATGTCATCTAGAGGTCACCATCTTAAAAAAAAGCGTTTTTTACTTTTTTTTCCACTTTAAACTTAAATAACTTAAAAAATAGTTAATTTAATTTTATGTTACCAGGTGTGTATAATAAAGGTTATCAGATAAACATTTGGCCAAATTTTCACAAATATTGGTTAATGTCTAGAGGTTGCCGAATTATAAAGTTTTAGTTTTTCAACATATTTTTTTGCTAAAAAATTGCTTAAATGTTTTAAAAAAACTTCACCTTAAATAAAATGCATAATTTTTGTTTTGAGCATAATTGACCACTAAAAGTTGTTGCGTGATTAAATAGTTTGCAAAATAAACATCTGGACGTATGTATATAAATTTCATAAACTTATAAAAAAAATTAGTTCTTATATCAATTAGCAAAATTGAAATTTTAAAACAATCTTAAAACTAGTTGGATAAGCGAATATTTTATTGTAACGATGAACCTAAGAAAAAATAACCAAGATTGGTTACCCTGAATCCAATAAATTATCAAGTTTCAGTCATCTATCAGCAAAAAAACATGTTTTGGGTAGATACTCTTACTTACATTTTTATTCAAAAGGCAACACTTCTGCAAGAGATATTTTTAAACTTGTTCTTGGTGAGCTTAAGGAAGTTTGGAAAAAAGCTGGAGTACCAATTCGATCAGAAAACTCTTGTCTTTCATTGCTTACCAAATTAATTGTGGAAAAGGTGAAAATAAAAAAAATTGATCACGCAAGTCAAGATGTTAAAGCTGGAAAAGAAAAAAATGTCAGATTTTGTAATAAACTTGAGCATTTTTGCGATATTTCAGCAGTAAATGCATATGAACAGTTATTAGTATCACGTAGACCAAAATGGAAAGAGGATTGGGCATTTTATAAAGATCAAAAGAGTAGCAGAAAGTATCACATGACAGGTAGCATTGATCTAGGTGTTTCAAAATTTTCAGAACGCCAAGAAGATAGACTAAGCATAGATTTTTGGAGATGTTCAACCTAAGATCAAAAATCGAGTGCCTTTGAAGCCAGTGAGTTAGTTGAAGTCAGTGAATTACTTAAAGTCAGTGAATTAGTTGAAGTTCTGATGAAGAAGAACAAAAAGATACAGAGTTTACTCCTTTATCACTAAAGAAAAGAAAGATGCCTTTAACAAATTCACGAGAGATATCAGCAAAGAAGCTCTTAGAAGTAACAGCATCTGTGGCAGATTGATGTTGTTTATCAGTTCGCCAACAACTTCTATTTCAATCCACTATCATCTGCAAAAGCGGAGACAAACTCGATGAAATTTCTATGTCAGTATCAACTGCGCATCATCAAAGACAAAATGCGCGGGAGAATATTGTTCTGTCAATTACAGCTGACTGGGAGATAAACAAACCTAAAAAAAGGCCATTTTGCACTGGGATTCAAAGCTTTTTCATTTAGACATAGCTCATAATGAAGAACGTGTAGCAGTTCTTATTAGTGGATCTCTTAACGGGTACTTATTTATTTATATAAATCCTATGTATATTTTTTATTTTTGTATTCAAAGAAACTAACTTAACTTTTATTTGCAGGCTGAAACTTATTGGTGTACCTTTGATTAAAGATTCGACAGGTAAAACTCAATGTGACATGGAAACTTATTTTCTAGAATTGATATTTATTACTCAAACTTTAATTTTTTTGAATGTCTTACTGATATTAGATCAAAAATATTTAATCAAGCAAGTTTAGTTCTGAAATGGGCTTACCAATGCCTCGATGAGAAAATATTTCCACAAGAAGATTATCTTGATTTAATTGAATTAACTATTATCTACCTTGGGGGAAAACTATCAATGGACAGAATATTCAAAATTCACAAACCAGGTGCAATTCACAATGCGAGATTTATGTCACATTCTATATATATTATAAAAATGGAACTCTTATCTAATAAATTTATCATGTTCAATAATGAGCAAATTATGATCCACCGCATGGCTAAGTTTATTAGTCTTTTTTATTTGATGCAATTTCTCCGATCGAGGATTTCCGTATTTTCTCCAGTTGATGACTTCAAATTTTTTGTTGCAACGAACTGGTATCAAGAAGAAGATTCAGATATCATAACCGCTGTGATTTCGTTGATTAACTGTCACCTTTGGTATTTAACAGAAGAGCTTGTTATTTTATCTTTATTCAATGAAAAATTGTCAGAATTTACCAGAACAATAATGGTAAAAAAAATTTTTTTATTTTTTTTTAAAGCAATATGACCTAGACAAAAAACATTTTAAATTGGGAAACCAAAATTTCCGACATTAAATTCTTCAACCTTTATTTATTTTTTAATTAGACTACGGTCGTGGCTTCTTTTTGATTTATTAGGACTAATAAACAACCAGGAATGGCTTCAGATGAATCAACAAGAGATTATCGAACTGCAGAAAATTTTGTTAAACAATTAGAGGTAACAAATGATTGCGCTGAGAAGAGGAATCAAACTTATTGGTAATTTATGCGAGTGTGCGCAAAATGAAGAACAACAACAATTTATTTTGCAAGTTGTTGAACAACACAGAAAGCAAAATCCATCCTATTCAAAATCAAAATTAATTAATACTTTATAGTATCTTTTATATTACTACTATCTTCTTTATTAATTATTATTCTTAGAAAAGCTGAAGCCTAAAAATAGCCTAGTTGAATTTTTTTTTTTAAGATTTAAAAAAATAAAAAGTTTTTTAGCTTTATATTTTAAAACAGCGACCTCTAGATATTGACCAATTTTTCTGAAAATTTCACCAAATATTCATCTAATAACCTTTGATATATACACCTAGACGTTTTTTTTTGGCACATTATTTACCCTGTTATGCATGTAACGTAACCATTTTTGGAAATTGTTGGAAATGAAACACCCTAATGTATATATGTGTATGTAAATATATATATATATATATATATATGTATATATGTGTGTGTGTATATATATATATATATATATATATATATATAATATATATATATATATATATATATATATGTATATATATATATATATATATATATGTATATATATATATATATATATATATACATATATATATACATATACATATATATACATATATACATATATATATATATACATATATATATTTATATTTATATATATACATATATATGTATATATTTTATGTATATATACATAAAATATATATACAAAAAAAAATTGTAAAAACAATCTTTTGTGAATGTTATGTAAAATTACAAAACATGATTAAAAGATTAAAAATTGTTGTATTATTTTTAAAAATAAATATACTTATATATATATATATATATATATATATATATATATATACATATATATATATATATATATATATATATATATATATATATATATATATATATATATATATATATATATATATATATATATATCCGTGTGTGTATGTATGTATGTATATAATATATATATATATATATATATATATATATATATATATATATATATATATATATAATATATATATATATATATATATATATATATATATGTATATATTAGAATGCCATGAATAGTGATTTTGCTAAATTTTTAATGATTCTCTGCCGAATAGCCAAAAATTTGGCACTTTACATGGGTGTAAGTTTCTTACCTGCATTAGTAAAGTGAATACCGTAATCACTCTACGGATAATTATGCGTACTTGTTTTGTTTACAAGTTTTGGAAATATTTGTTGCATCAAACTTTGTTCCTTATAGGTTGTATTTCTTACAACCCGTTATATAAGATATATACACAGTAAGTGTAATTCTATAGTTAAAATTCTATAGTATAGTTCTAAAGTGATATTTTTTTCTTTTTCTATCAACCTGGAGAGCAAAAATTATCAAATTTTTCAATCATATGTTGAAGCTATTTAAATGAGTCATCATTTTAATCCAAGTGGGCAGTTATCTATTATAAACGCAACTTTTGAAGCAACAAGGTGATTTTAATTTACCTATTACAAACATAGGAAGTTCATCACCTGCTGCATTTGGTGTGGCCATCCCAGTAAAATAAATTTTACTGTGCTTTCTTCCTATACAAGCATCATATCAAAGATTAAATGACTTATTAGGTTGCATACAAAAAAATAATCCAAATTCATCTGCATTAAAGAATTCATCAAGTTTTTACCTGGATTAAACTGTAGGGAGATTTGTTTCCTTCAATGACGTGGTCATTTCAGCTGTACAAGAGTTACCCTCTCCACATACTAGCGTACTTAGCGTACATACTATCTTGTACCGTCTCTCCACGTACCGTCTTGAAAGAAACATTGTATCTGTTTTTCCAACAATCAAGTTAACCATCAGATGCTTGAAATCCTTTAATAATAATATTTTCAGCAAGTTCTCTTGCTTTTGTTTTTAGAATTGATGCTGATACTGCTACATTTCTACTCCTTACATTTAAGACATTTAAAAATGAGGTTATATAAATTTGAAAATGCTGCTTCTTTAATTTACATATTTATTGGTGTGTTGTTTTTTTGGGGGGGAAAATTAAAATACTTCAAGTTACTGGAAGTAATTGATTACAGCAGGTAAGAGACTTATTTGACCCAATATAGGATCAGTTTAAAATCATGATCAGGACACTTAATTAAAGAACAGTCAATTAAAAAAGTAATAATAGTAATCCCATTAAAAAAGATAGTGGCAATTTCCTAATTAAACCCTTTTCCATGATACTCTGTTACAAAATTTATAAGGCTTTTTTGGAGCAAAGCACCTTAATACCCAGTAAAAAAAGCAAATCACAAAACAAATGGATTAACAAATCAAATTGTCAAGACCTGTTATGTATAAAAACAATTTAAATAAAAGTTTATCAGAAATTTTTTATCCTTAAATTATTTTAAATAAACAAACTTAAACTATTTAAATAAATTAATTTAATCTACTTAATATAATAAAAAACAATATTAAAACTGTAAAATAAGAAAGTTCCAATTAAAATAAAAGTTAATAATAATTGAAAATTTTAATTTCTTAGTTTAAAACATCTTCCATACTACACTATTAAAAATAATAATCGAAAGCAAATTATACAATATTTTTACAAGAACAAATTTCAAAAACTATAATCTCCTAAGTATGGTAAACTATTTAAACTTGCAAAACAAACTTGCAAAAAAATATATTTATATATATATATATACCTGATTGTTGTCATGTGTCAAATCTTTTCTAAAAAACATGCCAACTCTATCAACAGTAATTGGTTCTAATGGTGCCATACCAGCAATCTAAACAATAATTAAACCACTGCATGAACTCACTTTTAAAGTGAAGTTTTTTTGTAGTTCTTATACAACATTGTAGCCTTAAACCAAAGTTTTTTTTTTTAATTTAGAGGTTAACTACAACAGATTGGAACAAATATGCTAAAATTCAGACAACTGTTAAAAAATGGTTAAATTATTATAAAAATTTGTCGGAACTTATAAAATTAAAATAATTTAATATTGAAAAAACTAAATTAAAGGTTGGTTTCAATATGAACTTATAAAAAGCATAACATCATTCAGAAAAAAGGAGAAAGATAAGCCTATTAGTAAAGCTATATAAACTTTATGGTTGAGTGGTCATCATCAATTAAAAAAAAATGGAAAAAATGAAATAAGAAAATCACAACTGTTTTGAATTGTTCTCTGCCTAAAATAAGATATTAGAAGTAGTTGTAATTAGGTTGCAAGAAGTATTAAACTTTATCTTTTTGAATTCATTAGATTAATTATTCCATTAGATTGACATTTCAATTATAAAACTTGCAACACTAGGCAACAAATTTAGGCTACTGATGAAAATACAGAAAAATATGCTGTTACAAACAGATCACACTAATTAAATTCGAGAGTGATAAAAACTTAATAAACATCCTGTAATTTAATTAAATTGAAAACCAATTCTTTACTACTTAACTCCAATAGTCACATGCATGGCCTGGGTATTTACATATATAAGAAGTCACCCATTTGTTGGGAAACTAGGTTTGAATCTACAGACTATTCTTTTATGTGCTTTTGTTTAGCACCACTTCACTTTATCATTTTCTCTTTATTCTATATTGCTCTCCTTTATCTTAAAACTCTTTTCAATGTTACTACTGATCAAATTGACCAAGCCCTTTCTCTTTATCCTTCAGCCAATATCGCTGTTGTTGGTTACTTTAATGCTCATCACACTGAATGATTTGGCTCTTGTGTTTCAGTGACTCTGCAGGCATTAAAGTCAATAGCTTTTGTCTTTTTCAATCTCTAACACAAATAGTCAACTTTTCAAATCGCTTCAGACAATCCAATTCATTTACCTTCTCTACTTCTCTACTTATGTCTTGTTTCTGATCCTAGTCAGTGTTCAGTTTGTCCACATTCACCTTTAGGTACTTCTGATCATGTTCATGACAAATGTGCAACTTACATAACATCTTGGATTCAGGCTGGCATAGAATCTTTTATTCCCTCGCGACAATTCCAATTCAAGCCAAACTCTTCTCCATGGTTTTCCTTGCATTGTGCTGCTGCAATTTCCAATCGTAACCATTACTTTCATATCTATCAGCAAAACAATTCTTCAGAAAACAGACGTCTATTTACTATTGCTAGAAACCAGTAAAAAGGTTTTTTAAACCAGTAAAAACATTCAGGTCACAAAATCTCGTATTTTATCTCAAAAATTAGGCTCTCGTGACTTCAGAAGAATCCGTAATAGTACCTATAAAAAGGAAAAATCTACCTCTCTATATGGTTTAAATTTTGTCACCTCACCTAAAGACAAGAATGAATTGTTTGCTAAGAATTTCTCATCAATATTATCTTTTGATTCCGCTAGTCGCATTCTACCTGATAGAATGCTGGCAAACAGGTTAGTCAATTGCCTGACTTTTACATCACTCATGTTTACATCTAATCTTATAGTCTTGAAAAAGTGTTCTCCGGAGCTCTTCTTGGGTCTTTCAAAACTATTTAACAAGTGTTCATCAGAGTCTTGTTTTCCATCCTACTGGAAAACGGCATCTGTTATCCTTATTTTCAAAAATTCTGGAGAGTGATCTGATTTGTCTAACTACCATCCCATTAGTCTTCTTCCAATCATAAGCAAGTTTTTTGAGTCTTTAATTAACAAACGCCTAATTGCAAATCTAATAACTTACTTTCTGATCATCAAAATGGATTTGGATCTTCTTGTTCTACTGCTGATTTGTAAACAATAATAACTGATAGGTTTTATTGTGCATTAGATAGATGTGGAAAAGCTAAGGCAATCTATTTCAACCTTTGATAAAATTTGGCATGCTGGTCTCCTCTATAAGCTTTTATATATGGTGTATCAAGTAACATCTTTAATATTATTGAATCCTCCCTTACCAATTGTAGTATAAAAGTTGTCTTCGATAGACAGCACTCTTCTTCATATCCTGTAACTTCAGGAGTTCCTCAAGGTTCTATCCTTGGCCCTATACTCTTTTTAATTTACATTAACAATTTTCAAGAAATTCTCACATCTAAGGTGGCATTGTTTGCTGATGATACTATCATTTATTTTTGTCTTAATAAGAAGCCAACACTCTCTGATTGCTTGGAGGGGGCATTTGAACTTGAAAAGGATCTCACTTTTGTTACAGCATGGGGCTCCTAGTGGCTGGTGAACTTTAACTCAGATAAAACTCCATTTTCAAGTCAAAATTTTTGAGTACAATACTGTTTATAAATAAAGGAAGAATCTAGATCTTCCTTTTTTATAAATGGTATTGTACTAGATGGGTCATCTAATCTTCTTCTATGATTAACTTCTATGATTAACTTACTTTTGATCTTTCTTGGAAACCATATATCAAATTGATTGCAAAATTAGCATCAGCTAAGGTTGCATCTCTTTAACGTGCTTGACACCTTCTTACTCCGGATTCTATTCTTTATCTCTATAAATCTCAAATCCATCCTAGTATGGAATACTGTTGCCATATCTGGGGCATATCTTCCAATGATGTCCTTTGGAAGATATGCATATGTAAAAACGCATTGTAAACATAGTTGAACCTGATCATGCGGCCAACCTCCAACCATTATCACTCTGTCGTAATGTTGCTTCTCTATTCAGTCTAAGAATACTATAATGGGCACTGCCTAACCCTGTTTTCAAAAGTCCTATGACCTTGTCTAAGAAACCTCGGTGTACTGCACTTGCATCCGTATTTACAAGTTAAATGCCTGAGCCAGAAGATGCAAAAACCAACACAAGAAGCTCTTCTTAAGCCCTCAGCTAGAAAAATTAGGCTTAGATCTAATAATAAAAATATAATAAAAATAATAAGAGTATAATAAATATAATAATAAAATTATGTAAGTTTTAAATTACTTTAATTAAAAAATGACTTGAATTTGGCATATTACCATGCTAATAACAACATTATTTAGAGATTTTAACTTAAAGATCAATAAGTTAATAAAAAAAACATGTCATTTAGCATAACAGAAAAAAAAAATTTTTTTTTAATTATCTTCGCTTCCAACAAGGCTGCAAGCAACCACTAATTAGTGTTGGAAGTTACTGGAAGAGAAAAAATGAAGATTGTAGAGCAAGATAACGATTGACAGACGACTTAAAAGATTGCAAATTATATGAATCAGGAAAGCAAGATGAAGGAAGTGAATTCCAAAAAACTGATGTTCGAGGAAAAAAACTAGACAAATAAGAGTTTTTGGAAAACTTAGGAACAGTAACAAAAAAAAGGATGAGACTTAATTGAATGACGAGTAAAACGAGAATGAATTTTAGTACACGGCACAAGAGACGCTAGCTCTTTAGAGCAGTGCCCATTATAGTATTTGTAGAAAGAGAAAGAGAAGCAATATTACGACGATGTGACAGAGGTTGAAGGTTGGCTGCAAGAGCAGGTCAAACTATGTTTACAATGCGTTTTTGCACCTTGTCTAAAAGAGAAAGGGCATCATTAGAAGATCCGCCCCAGATATGGCAACAGTATTCCATACAAGGCCGGATTTGAGATTTATAGAGATAGAGAATAGAATCCAGAGTAAGAAAGTGACGAGCTCGATAAAGAGAAGCAACTTTAGCAGATGCTAATTTTGCAACGGATTTGATATAAGGTTTCCAAGAAAGATCAGAAGTAAGAGTTAATCCTAGAAGATGAAGGGTAGGAGACTCATCGAGTACATTACCGTTTATAAATATAGGAAGGTCTAAATTATTGCGATAACGATTGGCCAAAAAAAATTGAGTTTCATCTGAATTAAAGTTCACCAGCCACTGTGAGCCCCATGCTTTAGCAGAAGTGAGATCCTTTTCAAGCTCAGATGCCCCTTGCAAGCAATCAGAGGGAGTTGGCTTCTTATCGTGACAAGAATAAATGGTAGTATCATCAGCGAACAATACCACCTTAGATGTGAGAATATCTGGAAGATCGTTAATGTAAATTAAAAAGAGTATAGGGCCAAGGATTAAACCTTGGGGAACCCCTGAGGTTACAAAATAAGAAGAAGAGTGCTGTCCATCAAGGACAACTTTTATACTACGATTGGAAAGGAAGGATTCAATAATCTTAAAGATGTTTCCAGATACACTGTAAGAAGAAAGCTTATGGAGAAGACCAGCATGCCAAACTCTATCAAACGCTTTAGAAATGTCATGATGGCCTTAACCTCTCCACCTTTATCTAATGCGCAATAAAACCTATTGGTTATTACTGATAGCAAGTCAGCTGTAGAACGAGAAGATCGAAATCCATATTGATGACCAGAAAGTAGGTTATGAGAGATTAAGTGTTTGTTAATTTAAGATTCAAAAACCTTGCTTATGATAGGAAGAAGACTAATGGGACGGTAGTTAGATGAATCAGATCGCTCTTCAGAATTTTTGAAAATAGGGATAACAGATGCTGCTTTCCAGCAGGCTGGAAAACAAGACTCTGATAAGCACTTGTTGAATAGTTTTGAAAGGATAGACGACAGCTCCGGAGAACACTTTTGCAAGACTATAACAGGTATGTTGTCCGGGCCGCAAGCTGTAGAAGAGTCTAAGCGGGAAATCACTTTAGATACAGAAGCTGGATTCCATGCCAACCTAAATCCACAAAGTTATGTAAGAAGCACATTTGTCAACAGGGAGACGAAAGATTTCTACCCAGGGGCCATCACGAAGAAAATCACGAAAAGAGTCCCAGTCAGCTTTAAGGTAGTTGTAAGATGTACAATGATAGGGGGATTCTGATGGTAAAGAAGAATGAGATAATAGTTTTAGAGAGACCAAACCATGATCAGACGGACCTAAGGGTGAGTGTGAAGAAACTGAGCACTGACTAGGATCAGAAACAAAACATAAGTTGAGTAGAGAAGGTAAATGATTCGGGTTGTCTGGAAAGCGAGTTGGAAAGTTGACTATTTGAGTTAGGGATTGAGAAAGGCAAAAGTTGTGGGCTTTAATGCCTGCAGAGTCACTGACACTAGAGCCAAGCCATTCAGTGTGATGAACATTAAAGTCACTGACAACAACAATATTGGCTGATGGATAAAGAATGAGGGCTTGGTCAATATAATCAGAAATAACATCAAGAAGAGTGCAATCTTGAGATGAAGGAGAGCCATAAAGAGAAAGGTGATAGAGTGAAGTGGTGCTAAACGAAAGCACATAAAAGAGTAGTCTGTGGATTCAAACCTAGTTTCCCGACAAATGGGTGAATTCTTACAAATGTAAATGCCCAGGCCAAGCATGTGACTATTGGAGTAACCATCAACACTAAGATCACAAGATGAAACAGCTGAACTCAAATTAGTCTAACAAAGAGCAAGTAGGTCTGGTGAACTTTGCAAGAGATAAGACTCAACAAAAGAAAAGTTACTTCGAAGACCACGAATATTGGTGAATGATAGGTTTAGCGAACTTGGTGATGACTGTGGTTTTTTGTGTTTTATAGTTTTTGTTACTTTATTCATTTTTAAATTACACTTTATTAAATTACACTTATTTTAAATTACTTTTTTAAATTACACTTATTTACAAAAAAAGTCTTTAAAAGTTTACAGATATCTTTTTGTATGGATTTTTTTTTTTTTTTTTGGTTCATGTTCAGTCTAAGAAAACTTTAGAAAATTAAAAAAAAAAACATTTAAGATGTTCTCTAAAAAAAAAACTTTTAAGATGTTCTCTAAAAAAAAAAACATTTAAGATGTTCTCTAAAAAAAACACATTTAAGATGTTCTCTAAAAAAAAAAAACATTTAAGATGTTCTCTAAAATAAAAACATTTAAGATGTTCTCTAAAAAAAAAAAACATTGAAGACATTCTCTAAAAAAAAAAACATTTAAGATGTTCTCTAAAAAATTAAAAAGTATGTTTCTATATATAGATATAAAAACACACACACATAATAGAATTAACTTTAAAAATTTATAACAACTTGTTATACATTTTTTAACAACTACCTGAACTTTAATTTGATTAACAGTTACTGTTTGCGCATTCTGGTGACGTAGCTTTGTTCTTTTCTCAAAAGAAAAAGCAACCTCTTTATTGATATCAACTTCAAACACATTTTCATTCAGCTCGCAAGATTGATCATTTCTTGTAAATTTTCTTTCTTTAGATGGTGAACGTTTTGCAATACAAAAAAAAAGCTTACAACCTGAAACAAAATTTTTAAGATGAATGAAAAATCTGTAGAAAAAATTTTTTTTAATTAACTTTAAAGTATAATTTGCTAGCATTTATTAAGGTGTATGTAATAGGGTATACAATATAGGGTTTATGTAATAATCTTGAAAATTAGGCAACTTGCCAGTTTCATTGCGTAGCAAAAATGGTAAGAAAGGAGCTCGCTTTTTAGTACCATCATTGAAAAAACATGTTGACCACATAGCACTTGTTTTTTTTACTATTTCCATAAATCCACATGTCAAATTCATATCAAGACGTTCTGGAGCTGAAAATAAAATATACCTAGATATAAAAAACCAAACAAGAAAATTAAAAAAAAAATGCAACACTTTAAAAAGAAGTTACAAAAATATTATTAAAAATACCATCAATTTTTACAGAAAGTTTATCAGGATGATTTACTTCTAAACAGTTTGACCAATGAACATTAAACCTTAACAATATAATACATTTTAAATAAAGCACTGGTTTACAAAAAAAACATGATTCAAGAAAAAAAAAACTAAACAAGCACTTCATAAGATAGGACTTACGAAATATTTTTCTGAGTAATTTTTTGTAACTAGTAAATTATAAAAATAAATAAAAAAGAAATAAAACTTTGAAAATGCAAAAAAATCCTATTCAGGTATGTGTGTTTGTATATATATATATATATATATATATATATATATATATATATATATATATATATATATATATATATATATATATATATATATATATATATATATATATATATATATATATATATATATATGAGATCCCAGTATTGTTTTTACTTTATCTGAAATCATAATTCAACTATAATAAGAAGGACAGTTTTCAGGACAATTTTATATTGCAAACTAACCTAAATTATCTTTTGTATTAAAAAATCATTTTAAAAAGCATACACAATCAATTGATTTATCACTTGATTGTAAATCAATTTTCCCAATAAATAGTCCCCCCACAGAAAAAGCTTTTTCTGATTCAATCGATCTCTGCTTGATGGACAATAATGCTGAGTATAGATTGTTCAAATTTTCATTACGCTTTCCAGTTATCTGGAAAATATAAATTTCCTTTAAAATTTTTGAAATTGTGAAGGGTTTTCAATACCTCCTGTTTCTACTCATTTGACATTGCAAATAAGGCATTCAACTTTTTTTCAAGGGTCAAACTATTTTTGTCTAATAATATAACATCAACTCATTAAAGTTTTGAAGAAATACTTTCATTATGACGACTCTTCTTGACTACTTTATTATTGCTTGCATTCTTAATGTATAACCTGGTGTAAGTTTTTTTTCGCTTTTAACACATGTTTGAAGGGTAAAATTAACTTAGAATTGATACTTGATTCGCGATTGTGTGATTGTGTTATGTAAAAGAATGAAGAAGTGAATGGGTTATGTAAAAAATTTTAGTAAGCAGTTAGTAGTAAGTAATTTTAGTAAATTTGTATTTCACTAGGAACGCAATTCTTAATTGCCAATTAAATTTATATTTCTGCGTTCTTCAAATCTCTGCTGCACAGCCTAAAAGCAATTTATTAGCAATAAAATGATTTTTCTCTGCCAAATCATCTATGATAAATCAATAGACCTTCTGCATCAAGTAGAGTAGGATTAATTCTGCCAATCCTTTTTAGTCCAAGATTTATTGGTTGTAGCCAAATTGTTATTGCATTCATTACCACTCATTCTTCTTCAGAAATATTGAGAACTTCTTTTAAATCAATCATTGCTTTTAACATAGATGTTTTTACTTTAATAAATCGTTCTAGCATTGCAACAAGACTATTCTACCTTGTTTTTACATTCAATAAGTTCTTTATGAAACATACATTTTATGCACATTTGTAAGATTTTATTTTTAAGAGGTGATTTGTGGAACACTCACAAACAATACAACTTTTTCAAACAACTTTTTGGACCACTAAGGAAGTATTTAGGCTACTTTGTAAAACATCAGTGAATGTAACACTTGCTGTATGACTAGTCATTATGTCCAAATTTATCAAATGTAATTATATCATCATTATGATCACAATCACTAAAATTGTCCTCAGAATCTGAAAATCACCTTCAATACTTTTTGCCACTGAAAGGCTTGACTTTTTGTTAAGAACATCACTTACTGCAAAATGTCCATGGACATAACACAGGTGGTGTTCAATAACACTGCGCCGTGCCTTTTCATTATTAAATTGAAATTTGACAGTTCTTTATCTACTAGATCTAATATTTTATCTGCAGGAAGTGGTATAGTTAGTGGAGTCACTCCCATATTCCAAAACTTTGTTAATAAGTGCAAATTTATATTTAAATAACACTGATTTCTTAAAGATGTATATTTGTCTAACGATAAGAAAATCATGACCCAGTAGATATTTCTTTTGTTATTTCCAAAATTGCACTTTGTTTGGCTAAATTATATTGTTTTTTTATCCAATTCATAAAATAGTAGGGATTTTTGGGTAATATTATGCTTTTTTCTGATGACAATTTTCTAATGAATTCACTCTTTGTTATGGCATTTATAAAGAAGCCGTCCACTGTTGCTAGCTTTGACACAATACCCTCAGTAACCTGCTGTTTAACAAACGTTAGGATTTTTTTGCACTTTCCAAATTTCCATTCCATCTTCATGTGGATTTTCATATTTAAATCCATTACTCTGTATGCAGTATTTAAAAGACAAAGGAACCCACTTGATTACTATTGACATGGTATAGTTGTTGTGAATTGTAAAATAACTAAATGATTAATAAATTAGTTTTTTTACAATTAATTACCAACAATACATAGTTAAAAAATAAAATTCTAAAATAGTAAAAATTTATACATCCTTGAATACAGCTACTTTAATACAGAAATTATTTAAATTTTTAATCATACAATACAGCAAAATATTTAATTTTACAATTATTTGAAGTTATAAAAACCAAACAAATGAAGAAATGTTTTTTTACTCTTATTTTATAATAACAAGTTATTTCTTAATTTTATAATAACAAGTTATTTCTTAATTTTATAATAACAAGTTATTTCTTAATTTTAATCTAAATAAATAAATTTAGATTAAAATTAAGAAATGACTTTTTACTCTTTTTTTATAATAAGAAAAAAAGTCATTTTTTAAAATTTTGAAAAAAAATACTTGTTAAAAACTCTTTTTTTATTTAAGATGAAATATATATTCCTGAAATATTAGTCCTACCTATGGGATATACCATTATCACTTTCACCCCAGGGATCCCATTTGAGAAACCCTAATATACATACAACTATTTAAATATACGTGTGTATGTGTGTGTTTGTGTGTGTGAGTATATATATATATATATATATATATATATATATATATATATATATATATATATATATATATATATATATATATATATATATATATATTTATATATATATGTATATATATATATATATATATATATATATATATATATATATATATATATATATATATATATATATATATATATATATATATATATATATATATATATATATATATATATATATATATACACACACACACATAAATGCACAGCTCATAGTAAAAAACAATAAAAAAAGTTAGCATAGCTACAAAAGAAAAAACATAATATATACTTCCAACTTTCAATAAATGGCTCCCATGCTGAAACTCTTGTATTGTAGTAATTTGCATCAATATTACATTTCATAGAACCTTGCTTTTGAAGATAAAGATCATAGTGTAAAAATAATTCTAAAAAATAAATATTCTTAATAGTAAATTAATCTTAATGATAAATTTGAAATTTTCATTAATAAATAACTTTTTTTTTTTAATTTGGGCATTATACCTCTAAAATAAAATTTCCTTTAACCTACACTTCAAAATATTACATTTATTAACCTCAGATGTCTCAGCCATATTGATTATATGTACGAATTTTTGGTAAGTAAACTATATTTTTGTAAGTAAACAATATATATATATATATATATATATATATATATATATATATATATATATATATATATATATATATATATATTTTGTAAGATATTGTTAAATTTGTTTTCAAAGATTATGGGGTAAGGTTTGCATCAGTAATAAAAAATTTTATTACTGAAAATTTTTAATAATATAATTTTTTTTTTGTAAATCTTGTTCAAAAAATTGACTCGGAAAATCACAATAAATTAAGTAGTGTTTTATATCAGACTTTTTTTTTTTAAATATGTTGTCTTTGCCATGGCTAAAAAGCACAAAATGTCCAAATATAGGATCAGTTTAACATGATCAGGGCTTTTCATTGTTTAAAAAAAAAAAATTCTCATAAGTGATTTGAACAAAATCTTTTCCAATTTATTGAAATTTTCAATAAAGTTAAACCTATTTCACTTTATTGAAAATTATTTCTTTCAATTCTTAAAATTAAAATCAGAAAATTACACTCAACATTAAAAAAATTAAAAACTAGGACTTGCAAGGGATAAACATAGCAAAATCTATTTGCCAAATTTTTGAATAAAAACTTTCTTGCTCTCCTCCTCCCCAAAATTTTATCTTTTGAAACTCTTGGTAAACTTTCAATGGATGATTGTTGAAGTAACTTGAGTAAATTACCTTTCTATTATTCAGGCTATTTCAGTTAAACACTGTGTCACTAAATGACTTTAAATTCTAACCTTTTTTCCTGAGAAAAACCTTCAGGAGTATGACAGTATGTATGAGTACATTAGAGTTTTAAAATCTTTCATCATCGTTCACGAAAGAAAAATTGGTTTAAAAACTTTGATTTTTGGCCTATTAATAAGATTTATTAAATGAAATTACATTTTTTACATAAAAATTTTATATTTTTGTCACATAAGTTACTAATAAAGATGAAAAAATTATTATTTAAGTAAGAGTTCCTTTTATTAATTTTAAAATTCTGGAAAACCGTACAAGTGCAAAACTATTAAAAATGCGAATAAAATAAAAACTCATGATGACAACATAAAAACTGTCTGTTTTCTCTGTTTGGAAAAATCTAAGTGTCAATGTCAATGAAGAAGTTCAACTTCCCTCACTGCCTGACTACTAAAACATAAATATTCATCCTGCAACAAGAGAATCACCGTGTGATTGCATGATTTGATATGTGGGAAAAGCCAAATTTAGATTTTTTGGCTGACTGTTACAACAAATTGTAACAGTCAGCCAAAAGAACAGCCAGTTGTTGAGAAACACATTTCAGCAGGCTTTTCACTGATTGGAAGAGGGATTCCACATAATTGTACAAAAGAAATACTTGAGGGAACTTGCTTGAAGTTGTAGCAAGACATAAAAGCAGCAGAAAGAGTAGCTGCTTCTGTGATAGCTAACAAGGTTCCTTTACCCTATGGTACTGTACATCTTATTCAAGAAATAAGAAGGCATCTTCCAGTTACTCTAGGTAAAAAATAATACAATAAGAAAACTTTATAACATGAGAAACTTTGTTATATTGATGTAAACTTTTTTTCCAGGGCCATCAAGACAAACAGAACTTTTTCCAGCAGCTAAATTCACCTTGAATGCTCAACAACTTCTTCAAGTTCAAAACTAGACAAGGCTTTTAAACAGAGGGATGAACAACCTTGCTTCAACACTTAACAAAGTAGCTTCCCAGCAAGTAATGAACTTGAATTTGATTTTATTTAGAATCAATAAAATTACAATCAAGTTTTTTTTTTTCATAAAATTTAATAATACTGTAAATTAGTCAATCATTAATTATAAAGTATATTGATGAAGAGATACAACACCAGGCATCTCTATACTATCTAATGTGTAGGGCAAATTGTCGACAAGACAAGTTGTCCACCATGATAGGAAACTTATGAATAAGTTGGCCATATGAGTGTCAATTGCTTTTTGTGGTAGCATATTCCAGGACAGTGTGACACGATTAGTAAAAAAGTGATGTCGCTCTTCGCATTCGCTAACAATTTGTCTGTGTAGCTGTTTATCATGACTTCTCCTGCTATATGCGTTGTTAAGGAACCTTTGAGGAACAAAAAAATTAACATCATCAATTTTATTCATAATTTGAAACTGTTTAATAAGATCTCCTCTGGCTCTTTTCTTTTTCAGTGTTGTCAATATGAATATATTTAGGCGTTGCTCATATGGAAGATGAGGAAACTTTTGTTGCTCTGCGGTGAACTATTTCAAGCATATTAACATCTTTTTTTAGGTAAGGAGATCATGCTTGAATAGCAAATTCCAAGTGTGGGCGCACATATGTAATGTAAAGCGTTTGCCAGAGACTTAGTTAAGATTTAATTGAAAAAAACTACAGGGCAAAATTTGAATTCTCTTGGAAAGCATCTTTCTAATTTCTTTATCACCTCAGAAATTTCAAACACATCCAAAAGTTTTAGCAAAGAATCCAAGCATCTAATGGTGTACTGCAAAGAAGTTGTAACTCTAAGAAACACTTAAGTTCAGATCAAAGGTCCTCAGTCAAATGAACTTATAAAGGTGGGAATTTATGGAGGAGGGGAGTTCCTGAAAGTGTCTTTAGAGGTTCTTAAATTAAAACCAAATGCTTCTCCACCAACTAAAAAACCTCTTTTTAAGGACTCAGGAGTGAAGCATCAACTTCTGGAGGTATGACAAACATCACAGTATGACAATGTAAAGCAGATCATGGACAAATTGAGCCTTGAGAGATTTAATTGAAGGAACACTCATCTTGGGCTTCCTTCCACCCATGGAACTTCACTTGCTACTTGATGTTGTTAACCACCTTCTCAAGAGTAACACCAGAGTGGCCAAAAATGGTGAACATTCAACAATAACCTTTTCACGGAAATTTGCAGACAATGAGTGCAGAAAGGTCTTACAAAATGTTGACTTGTTTTAACAACTCACAGAAAAGAATGCTTGCTTTTTAGCATTTCTATTTATTGACATACTCAGAAAGTTTGATGCAATTGTTTGGGCTTTCTATGGAAATGTTCTTCAAGACAACTATTATAAGACATTCTCATAGTATTCTTCAATGAGGATGTGATACTCTTTATTCCTGATACTCTTGACTACCTCAAGCTTCCAAACACAAGTGTCACTCCAAAAGCATATGTTGCCTTTTTGTTTTGTTTATTGATCACCACAACCACTCACTGAGCATCTATTCAGAGCATGACACAGAATTACTCTATCTTGACTTTAACCATCACTGGCAACGGTTCAAAAGCTCCAGTAATCATTCCGAATACCCTAAAATTCTTCTTAACTGTTTTATTGATTACAACAGCAAGCATTCCTTTTAACTTCTTTGTAGAGAATACTGTATTATATATATATATAACATAAGATATGTAAGAAATTACCCTTCAACATCAACTTTTAATAACCATATTTAATAAGAGTATTAATTTTATTTGAAGTTCCTTGATCTGTTAAACTACAATCTGATTTTTTTTAATTTTCTGAAAAAATTGAATGCATTTTTGTTTGTTGTTGTTTCCAAGTTGTAAGTACACTGCTTATTTATAGAATAAATATGTTTGAACAAGTTTCAAATGTATTCAATATAAAATGAAACTCATTAGTTCAGAGCAATAAAATTAAAAAATTTAAATCAATTTTTCTTTCACGGTCGACGATGAAAGGTTTCAAAACCAACTCTAATGTACTCCTACATACTTGTACTATCATACCCCTAAAGGTTTTTCTTGGTAAAAGAGGTTCGAACTAAAAGTCATTTTGTTACACAGTGTAAACCTTTAAATACTATTAAAAACTTAATTATAGTTTATTCAAACAGTATATTTTTTTCAATAAAATAATGTGAGAGAAATAAATTTGGTTTTTTAAGAATTCTTGTATAATTTTTTATATAAAAAAACTTTGAAAAAAAACTTCTTTTTATTTAATAAATTTATTTAAATATTAAAATTGAAAATTTTAATTTAAGAAAATTATTTTGTTTTTATTTCACTCTTTTAATGTACTGCAATAGAATGTTTCTACATCTTAAACAAACTTTTAAAACTAATAAAGTTTATATTCTTTTTTTTTATTTATTATTTTTTTTAACATCTTCAATGCCAACAAGGCTGCAAGCAACCACTATTAGAGTTAGAAGTTACTGGAGGAGAAAAGATAAAGTTTATAAAGCAAGATAACAATTAACAGACAACTTAAAAAATTGCAAATTATTTAAATCAGGAAAACAAGAAAAAGGGAGCAAATTCCAAAGAACTGATGTTAGGGCAAAAAAAATAGACAAATAAGAACTTTTGGAGCCCTTAGGAACAGTCACAGTATAAGGATTAAACTTATTGAATGACAAGTAACACAAAAATGAATTTCAGGCTTGGTCAGGAAGCGGGAGCGATCGCTCTCGAATACTGACCACGGAAATTATATTTAGTTGCGTAAAACTGGCCAGGTTTTTTAGTCGTTTTGAGAGCATTTAAGTTTATGTACGAAACAAAAATTTTTGTTTTACGGACATACATGGAAACATAAAAAACATGAATGTTCTCAAAACATCTTTGTGCGAAAAAATAAAAAGAATATTTGCGAACACTAAAAACCCACCAAATTAACGAACAAACTAATTCTATTGGTTCAAAAAATACGCTGATTAAGTGAAATAAAGTTCTAGAGTATTCTGTTAAAATGTTTTAGAAATTGTATTATTCACGATTTGTTACGTTTTGAGATTTTTAGCATTGTTTTAAGAATATATATTATTTGTTTACGAAAATAAATGTTTTAAATATATATTAATTAAATTGTTAAAATTTTAAAAGTTTATTATAAATCATAGATTTTATTAGTATATTCTTATTTTTATTTTAAAAGAGATTGTATTCTTTATGTAAATGTAATTTTGTGTATTTCTTTTTTATCGTAATGTATCTTTTAAAGCAATTTTTATGATTTAAACAAAGACTTACAAAAATAATTGTGTTTTCAATGAAGTTATAATCGTTAAAGTTAATAAAACTAATTATGTAACAAACATATAAGAAGTTTCTGGTTACTAAACACAAACAACGCATACAAAGTAACTGGCGGATGAACAAGCATCGCGCTTGAGGTCACGACAGAACACAAATATATATAGCAAATAATTAGATATAAAGAAAAATTTCTAGATATTGGTTTACTAACTCTAATTATTTTCGCTTAAGTTGCCATTCTTAAAACTCGTTATACTTTTTTCTGCTTTAAATACTAATTAAAATTTAAAAGCCCACTCACTAAACATCATCAGCGATATTGTAAAGCAGTTTCACTTCCTGGTCATTAAGTATTTCTAACCTTTTTAGTTGATTTCTATCTTAATTCTTATAGTAATTCAATGATTTAATTATTTCATTTGTTTATCTTACTAAAAAGAATCGCTTCAAATATGTTAAACTTTTCAAACTACGCAAAACATAAAATAGGTATTAAAAAAATTAACTTTTTTATTTATTAAATAAATTAAGCTTAAGTAAAACTAAAACTTGCAAACTTAGTTAAATAAAGAGTATTTGTTTCCCTTTTAAACAATCGTTTAAGTTGACGGTTGTATGTTTCTATAAAAAGTTGATGTTTCTATAAAAAACATCGCTTAATTTTATATAAAAATTATAAAAGAGCGATGTTTCAAAAATATTTGTTCTAAATGTAATTTATTTAGCTTTAAATTTTTTCGCGTTTAAAGATATTTTATTTGCCTTTTTTTTTTTTTTTTTTTTTATGTAATTGTCTCTCATCGGTCCAATTAATCTTGTCGCTTTTTTTTTTTTGCTTTTTAAAATTAGATTTTTTAGTCAAAACGACTAAAAAATCTGGCCAGCTTTTCGCAACTAAATATTATTTACGTGGTCAGCAATCGAGAGCGATCGCTCCCGCTTCCCGACCAAGCCTGAATTTTAATAGATAACACAAGAGAAATCTAGCTCTTTAGAACAGTTTCCATTTAAGTATTTATAGAAAAGAGAAAAAGAAGCAACATTGGGACAATGGTAGTGAAGGTTGGGACAATAATAGTGAAGGTTGGTAGTGAAGATGGGTTAATGGTAGTGAAGGTTGGCAGCAAGAGCAGGTCCAACTATGTTTAAAGCCTTTTTGCACCTTGTCTTAAAGAAAAAAGGCATTATTTAAAAATCTGCTCCAGATATGGTAATTGTAATGAAAAAAGCTCGCTAACCCGACCTTTAAAATCTGATATTATTATATGATTTTGTAATGAAAAAAGATTTTTAAGAAGCAAGAAATTTGCAAGTTTTTAAGTTTAAAAAAGCTGTTTAAAGATTAAAATTTCTAGATTAAAGATTAAAACTAAAAATTTCCATCCTCGCTAACCCGACTTTTAAAATCTGATATTATTATATGATTTTTTGCTTTGTAATTTCTGTCTGATAATATTATTTCAATTTTTTCAAATCTTTTAGTTTATATTTATTTTTCTTTTGGCTTATTTTTGTTAGACTGAAAGTCCTCGCAGCTTCCAATTCATGAAATTAGAAGCTCCTTCATTTTCAATTCATGAAATTAGCTCTTAAATAATTGCAACAAATAAAATTGCAAAGAAAACTCTATTACTTTGTGAAAATGATATTTAGTTTTGGAAACGAGAGTACATGCGCAGTACTACACAGAGCATGGTGGGGATCAAAATCAGATATCTTACTTTAGACTAAATTACTTCTTCTTACAAGGTGAGTGCACCACTACCACCACTACCCAGTTTGGTTAGTAAGGATAATTATGATACATAATTATATATTTACTGGTTGATATGTATAATTGAGATTCCAACATCATTAAAATACAAAACTGATTTCACTATTAAGTAAAAGGCAAATTCAAGTTGCACTCACCATTTAAGCATAAATCAAGCAATGGCACATCATTATTTCCACAGTCATCAATCAAAATAACAGAGATCAAACTTGCTTTTATCTGAAATAAATATAATAATGGTTTATAAATCAAAATAAGAAAAGAAACAAAAAATACATTCAAGACAACTTTAATAATCTATTACCATTTGAAAAAAAAGAATTTCTAAAAGTTTACCTCATAACCAGATATTGCCTGCGCTTTTGGTTCTTCATAACTAGGAGGATGAGCATTACTTGTTAACCATAATGCAGCTTTATTAAAGTCATAATTTGAAAAAATCATTGCTTCAATACAATCCTCGCGCAAAAATCCCATATCTTGTAGTCGTTGTAAAGATTTAGCATCTATTATGAAAAAAAGTCTATAAAATGCATAAATATGAAATAGAATACTGGAGTAATTCAAACAGCATTTAAAACGAACTCAAAAATATTCCAGGATTTCATTATAACTCTCAGAAATTTACCCTAAATTAAATTTATTTAAACTTTATATTTATTTTAAGAAAATAACATAGAGGAAAATAATTCTTGGAATCCAAGCAAAAAAAAAACCCTGTTATTCATAAAATTTACATTTAAAACCATTTTGTCAACCTCTTTACCAATCCACTTACTACACGTATTAAATAATGTGCATTTATGGAAATCTTTTAGAATTGCACAAGTTAAATTCCAGCAGAAATGCTTACCAACCATCTATACATACTAAAAATGCTTTAAAATGGAAGTACCATTAAAAAAGAATGAACTGCGTGTATTTTGTTTTGTTTTGTTTTTATTTTCAATTTTCATGGCTCAACACTTGCATAGTTTGCAAAAGTCTTCTTAATGCCATTCTTGATGTAGCAACACTCCTCACATGTTTTACCTACTTGTTAGTCAAAATAGCAGCACTCAAATAGCACACTACTTGCATATTTTACCATTTATCAGTCGATGTATGTAAACAGTAAAAAAATAAAAATAAAAACATTCAGAGAGTTTTTATTTTTGTTAAAAAAATCAAAATTTTTTGAATGTTTTTATAAAAACTTTAGTCTGTTAATATTTAAAAAACGATAAATTGAATTAGTTTATTCAATGGTAATTAATTTTTTAAATGTCTTTTTTCAACACAAAGAGTCGTTAAGAGCCATTTTTTACTACAAACAGTAAGTTTAGATGTCAAACTATAGGAATAAGATAAGTCAAGGCTATAAGATAGTCAAGTATGTATAACCCCCCAGCCCCCCATATATATATATATATATATATATATATATATATATATATATATATATATATATATATATATATATATATATATATATATATATATATATATATATATATATATATATATATATATATATATATATTGTTAATTCACCTCCTCAAGGCCGAGAAGGCCATTACAGACGAGGAGGCTACTTATTTGTCGTTATAACCCTCTCTCAACTCTATAACTCTGAAACACAAACCTTGACGAACAAGGCCGCTGCGCAGAGAAATGAGTTGAGCGCGGTACTACCAGGGACGTGGTAGGGATTGAACTCGAAACCTCTCCCTTATGAAGCGAGCGCTCTACCACTACACCACTACCACATAATAATAACATACCTAATTTGTTAATACATACCTATTTGTTAAAATCATGTCTACTATATTTGTTAAAATCATTTCTACTACTAAAACATACCTAATTTGTTAAAATCATGTCTACTATGCTTTACTTCTTCATCATTTATTTCCATTGCTAGCGACAATTGTTTTTTTGCACTGTTTGCAATTTGCAAGAACATTTGAATGTCATAGTATGAAACCTTTATGTAAACTGGCGCTTGAAATTGCACCTGTTAAATTAAGCGATTATGAAATTTATTTAAAAAACAAATTAGGAATAAATAAAATCATGAAATTTAATTAAAATAAAAAAAACAATGAAATAAATAGTACCAGTAAAGAAAATCATAAATTTGTACAAGACATTAAAAAAGAAAAAGACTAACTTCTAACACAGGTATTGTAATACTTTGAGAATTTGAAGCTTTTAGATTCACAGATTTTAACTCTAAAAGAACTGCTACAGGATCTACAATAGAGAGAGCGGAATCCTCCGGTTTGCTCAGGTGACATGAGAAGACCTCTATGCTTTGCAAACTACAAGAAACAGATTTTTCGCTGGGATGATTTGGTCGATAAGCAAAAACTGCTGTTGTTTTTAGTATAACTGTTCTTGTATCTGGATCAGAAACATCTTCAACTACAACAATCTCAGACTCTGTTATGTTGACTTTTAATTCAAATTGTTTTTTAACAGCTAACTGAGTAGGTATGAGTTGTGTTGTTGTTGCCATTGATGGTGCTTCAGTTTTTGAAATTTTTGAAATATCTGCCGTGAAATTTTCTTGAAATAGTAAATATAATAATAATTAGATTAGTTGTTGTTAAAACATTATTAAACTTTATTATAAGAGGTATTATTTTGATATGAATATTTAGTGCACTTTATAGGCAATTGTAAATATTTTAAAGTATTAAATATTTTTAGCATCATGTTTTTTCTTTTGTCTTTAATCTTAAATTGAAGAATTTTCTTTTTAGCAAATTGTTAGTAGTTTTATGTTAATTTAAGATTATGGCATATTGTAAAGTTAAAGCTCTTTTGTTTACAAAATTTATGAAAGTTTATAATTTCATGTTTAAAGTTCAATCTTGAACCTAAAAAATGGCAAAAGTTCTAATTTTCAAACTTGAACATGTTCAAACTGGAAGCCCGAATGCGAATAATTTCATTTTATAAGCAGCCTAATTATTAAAATGCAAGTAAATAATGCCCACATGTATAACTTTTATCTAGCTGATTATCTGAAGATAATCAGCCCACAAGTTTAATTATAATAAAATTGTAACAGGTTTCCTATATACATTATCTTTTTTTTTAATATTTTGCTGATTTTATTTATACTGTATACTTATACATTTCATTTTTTTCTTTATATCACATTTTTAAAATTTTTAAATCATTTAATTTAAACCATATAATTTATGAAACAAGTTTTTAATTTACATAACTTACATATAATTTAAGTTTTTATTTTACATAACTTAAATATAATTTAAGTTTTTATTTTTACATAACTTACATATAATTTAAGTTTTAATTTTTACATAACTTACATATAATTTAAGTTTTTATTTTTACATATAACTTACATATAATTTAAGTTTTTATTTTTACATATAACTTACATATAATTTAAGTTTTTATTTTTAGACATCAACTATTTATGCTTATATATACATTGAATGACAAGCCATTGGTAGATTTACCAAATAACTCTTTGGCACAAAGACATAAAAGCATGCTAGATTACACAAAAAGCATATACTTTACCTTTAAACTGTTCTTCTTCTTTTCTTGACAAAAACTTGTATGTCTCCAGTAAAAAGTCAAACATTAACAGAATTCTACTTTGGTTACATAAAAATGTAACGTGTGATTTATCATTAGTGTCCAAATAGTGAACTTCAAATTGAAGATAATCTTTTCGCCCTTTACTTGAAGGGAGCAAAATTCCAAAAGGATCTATATTAAAAAATTAGTAAACACTTAACTTATAATCTATATACTTTTTAGTATTATTTAAACAAAATGAATGAGTTCATAAATATATATTTTTAAATAAATATAACAACTCTTTGTTCTTCTTTAAACTTATTTTGAAAACTTGTTTTGGTTGTCCACAATAATTTACTGAAATTCATTGGTCGTGAGACCACTAATATAGTAAAGAACTTTGTTTCAGAAGGGGGTACAGTCTTGATTTCGAAAGTTTAAAAAATAATGAATAAACTAGCTGGAATGACCAACTTACAGAAAACCTTTATTAACTTCGACCCCTCAAACTAATTTCCAGACTGCTTGCTATAATTAGCAAACATCTTTGAGTCTTTAATTAAAAAACTTCTAATTTTTTTTCTTGAGACTTTCTAATAATAATTTGAATCTTGTTCCGCAGCTAGTTTGTGAACTGTAATATCAGAACAGTTCTTTTGTGCAAAAGGTTGAAACATTGAAGCAAAGGCTATTGACATATCAATAAAATAGCTTTTGATAAAATTTGGCATGCTGGCTTTCTCAACTAGCTTTTTTAATAATGTTTATCTAGTCTGGGGCTTGCAGCAGTTGGCAAATTTTAACTCCAATAATTATAGCAATATTGTTGATATTTATATATTAACTATAATATATAAATATGCTGTGTAATATAATTGTAGCAATATGTTGATACCTCTACATTACATCTTTGTATCATCAATATAGATTTTTTATCATCAATGTAGAAGGTTAAACCTCTACATTGCACGTCTTTTACTACTGATTTTAGTTACCCAAATCCAATAAAAAACTTGAAAATAGCTATTTTTCTTACTTTTGATTCAATTCATTAACTCTAAATTTAAAAATAGCTATTTTCTTACTTCTAATTAAATTCTTTACCTCTATAAATCTATTTATAGAGGTATGATATTTGTACTTGTATGGAATACTTTTATAAGGAATATTAGCTTACCTTAACCTTTAGATAAGTTAGATAACCTTTAGATGCCTTAGATATCCTTTAGATAAGTTAGATTACCTATAGATATCTTAGATAACCTTTAGATAAGTTAGATAATAGGTTACTTTAGATAACCTTTAAAAACACCTTTAATATATTTTAGAAAAACATTTTTAAAAACATTTTTAAAAATAACTTTTGAACTTAAAAAAAGTTGGCATGTCTCTTTAAGGCAAGGCAAGTCTTTTTTTACAAATAGTTTCAACCCGCATGAAATTTCGATAATTTAGGGCTCCTCTGCTCTACAATAAGGCGTTAAACGTCCATCTATTTATACGTCCTTGATCTAGCCTTTTTCTTTATACTTCCAGAGGAGTTATGTTGATGCTCAAGCAAGCTATTATTTGTTCTTTTACCAACAAAACAAAATCTTGTGTAATTTGTCATTCAGTAAAGTCGCATTATTTTACTGTAACTGTTCTTTCATGCTTAAAACCTTTTTTTTTGCTCATTAACTCAGTTTTTTACTTTAAAGTAACTCTTAACTTGAATTCTGGTTGCTTGCAGCCTTGTTAAAAGTAAATTTATTCAAAAAGAATAAAAATTCATCTACCATTATAAGTATATAAAAAGTGATAAAAAAAATTTGATGCGTTATAAAGGATGTTGTTCAAACGATAGAAAAATTACAACTTACATTCAGTACGAAGATCATGGATAAGAACATCTGAAGAATACAAATCCACAGATTTTGAACTGTCAGAAAACGATTCAAACTGAAGTGTTGAATCCAATAAATCAAATTTTGCAAGCTTTTTAGATGCTCCTTCACGAGATGGGATATTGCCAAATGAAAACAATGGACATAATTCTAAGGACACGTTAGATAAATGTAATTTAATATGCATTGTAGTCCACAGCTGGCTCGAAAATTCTGCCTTAAAATGTAAAAAACTAGTTCTTGTACAAATGATAACACTGGTCACACTTACAAATGTTTGATTTTAAACTTTTGTAACAAAGTAACAAACAAACTTTTTTAACTATTTAAATTATAACATACCAACAAAATTGTAAAAAAAATTGTTTTTTTTGAAAACTTACAGGTTTTAATGGATCTTTGAGCACTGATGATGGGGCATCAAATGCTGCAACTTGCTCCCCAAGGTTCTCACCAAGCATTCCCATAACTAATGCGAACTGTGATAAATCTATGTTTATAGATACAGATGACAAAGTACCAGAGATAGAAAGATCAGGAACTAAAAAATTTTAAATTAAGAAATCATATAACAATTATAAACTAGATTTTTGCTTCATACCAAAACATAAAACAACTAAATATACCTTGTCTTCCAAATGCACACTCTAAATTTCTCTCAACTTTAAGATTCATTGTGCATGGTTCACTCATCATGTTTGACCCTTGTTGTATAAAAGAACTACCTTCTATTTGCTTTGCACTGTATATCAGCATATTGGTTAAGTTTATTTTTATTGAATCTAACAGACGATCTGTGTTTAATGGTGAAAATTCGGAAGAAGCTTTAAATATAAAAAAATATGAAAGTAATGTGTGTGGATGCATCCATGTGTGTGTGTCCTTGTACCCATATGTGCACACACACCCTGCATACCCATAAGCAGATCTTTAGTACGAATACATATACATATATTTGTGTGTGTGTATATATATATACATATATATATATATATATATATATATATATATATATATATATATATATATATATATATATATATATATATATATATATATATACATTTAAATACTTTGACATATAAAAATATATTTATATTTTAAAACTTTGACATATAAAATGTTTACACAAGAGCAGTAAATGGCTGAGAGAAGAATGAAATAAATAAAAGAGAATTATTTTTTAAACAAAGCAAATTTAGACATTTGTCCAGATAAAATAAAGAGAAAAGAAAAAGTGAGAAAATAAAAAAAATACAATCATAGTGGTTATGAGAATATATAAAAAATGTTTGTGACTAAAAGTAAAACAAAAATTACTAAAATTACTTTGAGTATAAAAAACCTCATATGAATTGGTTTTTTCAGGTTTTTTAAGAAGACTTTTTTATTTTTATTGTGCAAGGTTTTTCATTGATAACTCTGACTCTACCATTATATAGATACCATATCACACATTACTTACACCTAATATACATATTGCAACAGTTACCTGCATTATTTCGGTAGCGAGTAGCAATAAACGTGAAAGCATTGGTACTTTGATTGCTGGCATACAAAAACTCGTTGCTCACATGAATATTTCCTAAGTTAGCCACAAGCAGATCTTGCGACATTGAATTTCGAGGTAATATTAGAATAGGAGACTCAGTAATAACTTTCAACCGAAGACGTGCAGAGCGACTTTGCATAGCAAACACCTAAACAAACATACTAACAACATTTTTAATTTGATATAAAAATTTCATATACATATATAAATATCAATAAATATATACATGGGCGCCTGCAAGATTTTTTGATGTGTCAGATGGAACACTTTCACACACTGTGAAAACTCCAAACTTAAGTATGTTTATACCTATAGCAATTGAGGAGGCCTTGCAAAAAATAAGGATGGTGAAGGCCTGAGAACAAAAAAGCCCTAAAATGTTTGCCTCTCACCCTGACCAATTGCGAGGACACTGATGTAGTAAAATTTTCAACTTTACTATCTTAAACTAAATTTAAATTTGTCAACAGATTTTTAATTTCGTAAAAGAATAGTGTAAAATACAAAAATTATGACAAAATTTAAAATCTGTTGATAAATTTAACTTTAGTTTAAGACAGTACAGTTGAAAATTTTACTCTATTGGTGCCCTCATGTTTGGGCAGGGGGGAAAAAATTTTATAGCTTTTTTGTTATCAGGTCTCTGCCTTTCCAATATTTTGCAAGGCCTTCTCATTTGCAATAGATATGAACATACAATCGCATTGGCGATTGCACAATGCGTAAAAGTGTCCTACCTGAAACATCAAATGTAAATATATACATACATAGGGAAGAGTGTGTATGAAAGAGCCAGTTTTAAAAAGGTATGAAAAAAAGTCAATTTTGATTAATTTAGGAAAAAAAATTTTCTTTAATTAAATACTTACGTTATTGGATAATATTATAAAATTAAAATAAATTGGATAACGATGCTAATAATCATACACCTATTTTAACTTGTCAATAAAAGAGCCACTCTGTGCTATGAATGAGTCGTAACGTTTTTTCTAAAACTAACAAGTCTTTTAAGAGGAATAATCTATTAACTAGACTTCTAAAAATCAAATTGTACTTTAAGTTATATAATTCTATGATAATCAATGATAAAACAAATAATAAAACTGCTTTAATAATAGTTTCACTATATTATTAAAAAAATACATCGCTTTTCGTAGTTAATACTTGTGAAGACATGTGTTTTTTTAAAGATAAAAAATATTAAATGAGAATGAAAAATATAGTGTATATTAATACAAAAGTATTAATATACACTAGTCAAACATTTATAAAAAAAAATTTATATACACTAGTCAAAAAAACAAATTGTTTTGACTACATCTTGACGATAAATGTTACCAATGAATCATAGTGATTATAAGGCATTTCACATATATTAACTATGCTAGTGATATATGAGTGAATACAACAATACAAAATATGTGTGAAAGTTTGAAACAAAAATAAATTTTAATTATTAAAAATAAATTATTTCAGCTTTAGTAAAAACTTTATTATTATTTGAATGTATTTTATAAGATTCAAACGCACCTACATTTTACGATTTCAGGAAAAGTAATTCAAACAATTAATTTCAATAGAATATGATCAATGAAGCATTACGAAAAACAATGAAGTCGTTAATGCGCAAAACAGTTATTTAATTTTAAAAAAAGCCGAAAGAAAAAGAAAAAATCGAAAAGGTCAGCTTTTTCATAGCATAAAAAAGTAGCTCTTTCAAAAAAAAGTATAATAAAAATAATAACCTGAAAAAAAATTTAATGTAATATTATTTGTGGAAAAGAAGGACACATATATATATATATATATATATATATATATATATATATATATAACAATGCAGCATATATGTTTTATCAAATAATAAAATACTCTTTATCTTAAAAATAAATAAACCCCGAAAAAATTACTTTTTATTTTCAAAATTTTTAGTGCACCTATATGACACTATTTATTTTAGTAGAACTCTAAATTTCTTTTGGGTGACAGGTATCCAGCGTAGCCACACAAAAAGTAAAATTTTATTTTAATGGGACTTTCTCCCATAAACTTTACAGCTCGCAGTGCTAACGTCTTTAATTGTTCTCTCTACTGCCTGTGAATGACATGGAACATTGAGCAGTAGTATTGGATGTGTGTAAGTAAGTTGATCATTTGAAAGGTGTGATAGCATCGGAGGAGACATAACATTACTCTGGTCCCAGTCAATCATGTTAATAAACGATGTCACAGCCAGATTTAATGTTATATCCTTCTTATCAAAGACGCGAACCAGTATGTTACTATTAGTCTGCTTCTCTCTTGCTCTTATTATTTGTTCTACTAAAAAACGACAAATTTCCATATCACTATCACTGCAGCTAACGGAGTGTTTTCAGCATGCGCAAAGTAGCAGTTATTTTTGAGAAATAACTGCTACTTTGGACGAACCACACCCTGATCTTATGCATCAAGTTCCTGAAACAACTGAACTAAGTAAAAGAAGTTGTTAGCACCATTTTGGCAAGAAGAATTTGATTTCATTTTGAACCAAGAGGGTCCGTAAAAGTTCAAAATGAAATGCGTTACTCTTCTGAGAGGTTTAGATGCCACCTCTCTAGACATGTAGAGATGCAAAATCATGTTGGCTTTCGTCAACCACCGAGCATGACTTATATTTCCAGGTAAACTCTTCTTGAGGAAATCAATATCTGTAGAAGCCTGACATCCATGCTGTACTGCTAGACATGCTTTCAAAAAGTACAGTTGGTCTGTGCTAAGATCATTCTTGACAGCTTCATCACAATGAGTCACCTTACCAGTAATTGGCAAATAATTAACGACAGGCAATTCAATCGGATCATATTCTAGAGCTGAGCTAATTGTACCTGTCGATGTGGAAGGTCCTGTAGTTTGAGCAAAATCCACGCCTGCCAAAAACCTTCTAAATGGCAGCTCGTTACAGTGTAGAAGGCATACCAACCACTGTAATGGTCTACCTAAGTTCTCCTCCAATTTTCTTATGATTCCGTTGCTTTTACCTGAATTATTATTTGTGCCATCACACACAACACCTTGAATGCTTTTTACGGAGTCTGTCTCTATAATAACTGACATTAACTCCTTTGTTATATCAGCAGCTTTACTACTTTCAGGAACTACATGATTGATGTATATGTTTCCTGGATACGAGACAATACTATAGTGTTCTTCTTTTTTACTTCTTCTACAACCAAAACTCTCAACTAATGTAACGTCTTGTTTTCCATCAAAGCCTATACAGCACAATTCCTTATTGCTCTGCATATGTTCTTCAACCAGAGTTTCTCTCCAGAAATTCCTTTGTCGACGTAGCTTTGAAGGATCAAGAATTGTTGCTGAAAACAACATACTGAGGTCTTTTAAAACAGCATTAACAATAAGACATGTATCTCTGTTGCTAATTTTGCATCGATCAACTGCTTTACATAATTCCTTGTACTTGTTTCTGTTCTGCACTGATACTGTCTCTTCCTCTGATGTATAATTACTTTCAGACGTGTTACACTCATCCTCATCATTATCTTCCTCAGTTTCATACTCAACCTCTTTTGACTGTGCTTCATCACAAACTGATTTCATAAATTTGCGTTTTTGTCTCTTTTCCAGTGTTGCTGTCGTTTCTTTGTCTACTCCACCAATTATCATATTTCTAACAGTTTTCTGGTCAACCCAGAAATCCCACTCTACCAATGGAATTTTATTTGTCAGTGGGCACGTGAATAAGTTCCTATCTCTAATGCCCAAATCAAAGCATTTTCAGGTACAAATGTCAAATAACTGCTTAAAAGAATTCAACTTCTCAGTGAATGTGTCTGATGTTCTTTTTGCATCGGAATATTTTTCAAGTGTATGTACTTTAACCATAAGTTTTCTAATCCTAAGATTGTGCTATTCCCTTCTATTGTGGGAATACTTGCTTTTGAATAAACACATTTCACTCTGTCTGCTAAAATTGAATATCTTTCTTGCAAGCTAATTTCTAATACTGTTTTCTGATTATAATAGAACGCCTTAATAACGTCTTCATATGATGGGATTTGATTTTCAGGAAGATCAACTAACTGCCCAAACAATGGATGTTTAGCTGCACTTCGTGTACACATACTATCCATACTTAATATAATTTGTCTAAAATAATAAAAAAAAACTACAGCAAGTTATGTTTACAATAAATAAAAGCTGTTAAAACAATTTTTCATAAGAATTTAGTCAATAAATATTCCAATATTTACGCAGACTATAATATGTTTAGCCCTCTCATAAATAGGCCTACATGATCTTTCTACAGTCTAACCTATAGCCTACTGTAGTATACATCTATATTAGCCTACTTGAGTTTTACTATAGATCTATTATTGCAAAGAAGAAAATAAAATTACAAAATAATATATTTGATATTTTTCATGTTTCTAAAAAATCCAGCACACGGTTTGTTGCTAATGTTGGTGACATCACATACAAATAACGTTATAAAATTTATTCCATTTGTTTTTTAGCACTTGTAGTTAGGTGCTAAACCATTTGCCAATGCATTTTAGTCAATGATTTATAGTTGGTACGTATTTAGAATGTACCAAGGAAATGGTTAAAATACATCTAATAAGGTAAGACTTTAATCAAAAGTTGGGACCCCTAAACGTTTCATAAAAAATCTTTAAATATTATTTTCATACTGTACTGATGCCAAGACAACTTTTTGTTCATGTACAAGAAAGATAAAAAAATTCGACCCACCCTAATATATATATATATATATATATATATATATATATATATATATATATATATATATATATATATATATATATATATATATATATATCAGGGGCTATTCTAGACCCTTTTTGACAGTGTTGAACGTATTTGAGCAACATTTGGGCACCGCCCAAAATCAGAAATGGAGGACTTTTTTTTTTCTGGCAAATATTGTTTTTTTGCTAAAAATGCCTACACACGGAAATGTTTCTGCTAAATTTTCTTATGGCAGGTGCCAGCACAGGGAGGGGCGCGGGTTACTACTGCCCAAATTATTTTCTTAGAATAGCCCCTGTGCATGTATGCATGTATGTATATATATATATATATATATATATATATATATATATATATATATATATATATATATATATATATATATATATATATATATATATATATATATATATATATATATATATATATATATATATATATATATATATATATATATATATATATATATATATAAATAGGGCTCAATTTAACAGTCAGACATTGTCCGGCTAAAACCTCAGATTGTCCGATCAATTTACAAAGTCATTGGACATTTTGTCCGGCAAGATTTTTAATTCTTTAAAATAAAATTTTATTCGTTGATTTGAAATTTAAACTTAATGTAAACTATTAGACAAACTTATAAAACATGTTGATAATGGAGGCATTCATTCCCATAAAAAGCTCTGTTATTAATTGTAGTTTTAATGACTGTTCTTTAACAGTTTTATTGCTATATTATTAAATTTAAAATTATTGCTTATTTAAAACGATCGCAAAAGTCAAAGTATGTTCGATTGATTACTGCAAACACCGTGGACACCGAAAAGCAAAGAAAAGCTAGCAGTTTGAAAAATTTGATAATAAAAGATTTTACAAATGTATTTTTTTTAAAAGCTGAGATCTCATCGATGGAATATTTTTTAAAAAACATTAAGAAAATATACATTTAAATATTAATGTTATAATCATCCAAATCATTCTATTTTAGCTTGAGCGGTTTCTCGGTGGCATCCTGGTCCTACTCGAGTTTTCCGATTCTTTATTTATTATTTGTTTTTTAAACTATATCTTTATTTGTATTTTTTTTCTTATTATTTATATATATATATATATATATATATATATATATATATATATATATATATATATATATATATATATATATATATATATATATATATATATATATATATATAAAAGATTAAAAAGTTCTAGTTTTATAAAACTTGTCTGCCAAAGAAGGAGTGCCTTTTTGAAAAGTAGATAAATAATAACCTGTAGAACTCATAAAATTTTCTTCGTTGAATTGATCGAATTTTAATGACACGCAGCGCGTGGAATTTTTAAATTAAATAATAGCCCGTAAATATTATATTGCATATATTATAATAAAATGTAAATATTATAGCCCGTAAATATTATAATAATATGTTTATCTTAACATTTAATATATTAAAGACATTATTATACTATATTACTATAACAAACGTGTTTTCTTGCCGTTTTTATTATTGATAAAAATAGTTGCATGAACGCCATATAAATACCTTTTTGGCGCTAAAAGTGGAGCTTATGCGCAAAATTGACACTTATCATATTATATTTTTTTAAGTAAAAAAATTTACATAACTTTTATAAACCGGTAATGCAATTCAATGTAAACTAACAAGGTTTTCGAGAAAAAAAAATCAATAAAACTTCAAGTCTATCTAAAAAAATGCGCAGTATTGAATTTAAACTATTTCATTTAAAATACAAAGATCTACGATGATAAAAATTCTGAATATTAAAAAAAAAAACTACAGCTTCACTAGCCTAAAACTGGGAAAACATAAACTGGGAAAACATAACATATACTTCGATTGGATAATTGGGTTCTGTAAAACTCAGATACGCTAGACACTAAAAAAAGAGTCAGAGTCTAAAAAAACCCATCTGCAGTACTTTTTTACTCTCGGCATTTAAAGAACTTTTTCCTGTGTTCCTTTTAACAAAACAAATATGAATATATGTAAATATTGGTGAAAATTATTTGTTTAAATTTTATTTCAAAAACTTGATCGGACAATGTCCGACCAAAATAACTTTTGGTCAGACATTTTGTCCGGGACATTATGAAAAATTTAATTAAGCCCTGTATATATATATATATATATATATATATATATATATATATATATATATATATATATATATATATATATATATATATATATATATATATATACCCATATAGTGTAGTCGAAAGAGCGTTTTAATGTAAAAAAAGTCTCTTACGACTACAATTTTAATTACCTCGTCTCTTAAGCTGTTTTTGATTGTCATCGAAATGTCAAAGCAATTAATTTATGTGGAAGTACATTAAATTTAATTGTTTTTTACAAAATTTTTAAAAAACCGCAATTATAACGACTAGAAAGTTTTTTTTAATTCGTGGTGTTTTTGTTATTGATTTAATAAAAAACATTTTTAAAACATGCGTAAATGTTGTTGCTACATCGACTATCTTATAGCCTGACTCGCAACGGAGTGCTGCTACATCGACTGACAAATAGCCTGACTCGCAAGGGAATGCTGCTACATCGACTGACAAATAGCCTGACTCGCAAGGGAGTGCTGCTACAACGACTGACAAATAGCCTGACTCACAAGAGAGTGCTGCTACATTGACTGAGGGTTTGGTTTGGCCAGGCAGTCTATCAATTAAAAAAAAAAATTTAATTTTTAAAACTTTTTCTGGTCTGGTTTATTAACGCGCTCTTTAAAACAGTTTATATATATATATATATATATATATATATATATATATATATATATATATATATATATATATATATATATATATATATATATATATATATATATACTCTTGCATGTCTCTTGCATGGCATCAAAAAAAGTTTCCCATAAACTGTAGTTTTAAAGAGCGCGTTAATAAACCAGACCAGAAAAAGTTTTAAAAATTAAATTTTTTTTTTTAATTGATAGACTGCCTGGCCTATTATATATATATATATATATATATATATATATATATATATATATATATATATATATATATATATATATATATATTATATATATATATATATATATATATATATATATATATATATATATATATATATATATATATATATATATATATATATATATATATATATATATATATATATATATATATATATATATATATATATATATATATATATATATATATATATATATATATATATATATATATATAGTCTAATATCATACTGAAACAGGAGGATGGCAGGGGTTTCAGTATATACATTAATGGTCATGCAAAAAATCATGCCTCACAACAAACTTACCTCACTTCCCATCTTCACTGCTCTTATTCTTCCTAGTACTTCTTGCAATAAAACAAAATGCTGACAGAAAGCAATCACTTCACTCAAAAAATGTTGTGTATGTGTATATTGTATTGATGACAAAGATATGTACAAGTCCATATCACAATCTCTTAAAAGGTTTGGATCAGGTTTTCCAAATCGATAAAATGTAAACTCAATAGCTTTTGCCCCTTTAGTAACCATCCTACAAAATTTTTTATAGCAAAACAAAAAAAAAAAATAATTTTAAAGTTTGAAAAATGAAAAAGAGAGGCCAATAATTTGGGTAACAAGATTAGAAAGGTTTTTAAAATACATCAAAAATAAAACTTATTACACTATACATAAAACTTATTAACAAATTCAAGTTACCTGATATTTGAAAACAAAATTTTAAATAAATAAAACTTAGAAAGTTATTACCTTTCTTTATAAACAGCAGAAAAAGGTGAAATGTCATGCAACATAACACTGTCAATACTTCCAGAAACATCTTGATTTCCATCAAGCATTGTTGTATTGAGACACATACCAAAAATGCTAGCTTTTGCCAATGGATATTGTTCTTTGTTTAAGTAAACAACCAAAGAATTAAAGTTTATTTTAATTTTACTTTGAACAGATAAATCTTCAATTGATTCTAAACAAAAAAAGTTAGATTTGTCTACTTTATTTTTACATCTTTGTTTTTTAAATACCCTTATTTAGATTATATGTTCAACACCCTTAATGAATTTTACTTGGAAGGGATCTTCAATTTGCTAAGACATGTTATGCTCATATTAAACTTGTGTTTTTTACACAAAGCCTTCACAAATAGGGGTTTTATTTTTTTAACCATAAAAAAAAAACTAAAGTAAAGATAAAGAATTAAGTAAAACACAAATTAAAAAATATTTATTGCTTTTATAAAAGATTAATCACCAATAAATCATAATCAACAAAATCAATAATCTTTTGAATTAATAATATAAAATGAATTAATAATATAAAACAAATATAAAAAAATTAATTGAATTAATAATATAAAACAAATATATAAAAAAATAATTTAAATCAAACAAATAAATCAAAAGAAAAAAAGTCAAAAATTAACAAAAAGATATACAGAATTTTGAACTAAAAAAGAAAAAAAAAACTTTTAAGTAAAATAATAAAAAAAGGAAGAAAAAAAAGAAAGAAAAAAGTTAACAAACGAAACAAAAGAAAAAAATAAGAAAAAATAAGAAAAGTATAAACAAAGAATAAAAAGATTGGTTGTTTTTTACTTATTTTTTAACAATTTAATTTGTAATAATTTATTATTATTTTTTGTCTTTCTAATTTTATTTTTACTAATTTTCTTATATTATATTATTACATTTTTTTTTAACTATTTTGCATTATATTATTATTTTTCTTGTATTATATTATATTTTTTTATTAATAAGGTTAATATTTTTTGTTCATTATTTTTTTAGTTATTGTATCTTTTATTATTATTTATTTATTATACAAATATTACCTGCTATTATATTATTTACCATTAGATTATCTATTTAAAATTTTTAATAATATATATTTTTCATAATAACTAAATAATTATTATGTGCTTCATTATTATATCATATACTATATTTATTTATTATTGATTTATACCATACTTTTATAAATATTGTTTTAGTTTTAACTAATATTTTTTCATTGGAATTAAGTACCATTGCAAGTTCTGCAATAAATCAGTGGCCAATAATCAACAAGCCATTTTATGAGATAGTTGTTTTTCTTGGGTTCATGCTAAATGCAACTTAATCAACAAATTTTTGTATAACCATCTTGTCAAAGACTCTTCTGACTCGTACTGTAGTGACTGCATAATTAAGAATATGTTATTTAGCACACTTTCAGACTTAGAACCTTCCCTACCTCTATCAAACTATGGTCAACTGAAGTTAAAAAAGGAGGTGCTCTTCTATACTTACAATCCAACCTAATTTACAATGCTTGAAAAGATCATATAGTATATGCCCTAAAATACCCAGTGTATCTATCTTTATTGAAATCATCAATTCTTTGATGATTTCAATAAAGAAAAATATTATCATTGGCTGTATATACCAGCATTCTCCAATGAACCCAATGGAATTTATTTCTGATCACTTTAACCCTTTACTTGAAAAGCTTTGTTTTGAAAATAAACAGGTTATGCTAATGGGTGACTTTAACAAGGACTTACTAAACTACAATGAATTATTACCTCTGATTACCATTATTAACTCTGATTACCTTGATTTACTATACTCTTACTTTTTTTTCCCAACAATAATTCAACCAATGCAAGTAACCTGTAAATTTAAAACAATAATTGATAACATCTTTTTAAATTTTCAAATTCTCAATCTTATTTCTGGCAAACTAACAATATCAATTTCAGATTACATGACACAGTTTGTTTGCATTCTTAGTACTCTTTTTAAAAGAAAAAAAATTCATAACAAATGATCATTTAAAAATTTCAATGAATTTGAAAAACTGACCAAAAACCAAGTTAAACTCAAATCTAAACCTTGGATCACTAATGGAGTTCTGAAGTCAATTACAATTAAAAATGAGCTCTACAAAAAATATGTAAAAATCTAATAATCCTAACACAAAAAGTCAACTATTCAACAAATTTAAATTGTACAGAAATAAAATTAGCAACTTATTGAGAATTTTCAAAAGGTCATATTACATTTCCTTTTTAAACAAAAAACCCCAACAATGCAAAAAATACATGGAAAGGAATTAAAGAAATTATAAACATCAAACCCTCTGTACCAATAAAATCTTATATTCTCAAATCTAATGGTAACACTATCTCAAACAATATAACTGTTGCTAACATTTTTAACAACTATTATGAAACAATACAATGTCCACCCAAAAGTAAAATGATTTCTTCTAAAAGTATCTTCTCTGACTATTTAAAAAATTTTAATTTTTTTTTCTTAATCCAGTGACTGATAATGAGGTATCTGATTTATTAAAAAATACTTTACAAAATGATAAAAATTTAGGTACAAATAGCATCCCCACAAACCTTCTGAAACTTACTTTTCATTTTATTTGCAAGGCTCTCTGATCCATATAAAAAAAGCCTTTTTCAAGACGTTTTTAAGATAGTTAAAGTCATTCCTATCCATAATAAGGGTTCTCTAATGGACCACTCAAATTATTTGAAAAAGCCATGCACAACAGACTTTATAGCTTTCTTGACAAAAATTAATGTTTCTAAAAACATCAGGATTTTGTAACAAACACTCCACAACTCATGCACTTAATAAAATAACTGAAACTATTAGAAAAGTTTTTGACAATAAACTTTTTACATGTAGAGTGCTTCTTGACTTAGTAAAAGCCTTATACTCTGTTGATCACTCCATCCTCCTAAGTAAATTGGAACACTACGGTGTTTGAGGTATTTTATGAATGATGCAAATATCTTTTCCAAATTTTCAACAACTTACCATTTTGCTGATGACACCAACTTACTCATAAGAAAAAATTAACAAACATTATATTCAAGATTTATCCAATCTACTTCAATGGCTGCGCTCTAACAAATTAAGTTTTAATACCAACAAAACTGAACTCATTATTTTTAAATCAAGTCAATCTAAAATGTATAAAAACCTAAACCTTAGACTAAGTGGCCAAAAAATCTTTCCATAGTTTCATTAAAATATCTTGGAATCCAAATGGACTCAATTCTATCCTTTTCTTCTCATCTTTCAAACTTAGCAGTGAAATTATGTAGACCAAATGGGATGCTAGCCAGAATTTGTCACCATGTCAATTATGAAACTTTACTCAATATATAACATGCAATTTTTGGATCACATTTCAGATATGCTTTTCAGGTTTGGGGAAACAAGTCTCTTTTTTTAAGATTACCTAACCAAGAAAACAAGGCTTTAAAAATAATATGCTTTCAAGAATATCATTCTACTCTGACCTCCTTTTTTATGACTGGATTCATAATCAAGTAAACCTCCCTCCATTATTAACCAATTTTTTCACCACTAAAAAAAGTTCTTGTTATTATTTTCGATAGTTTAGAACTTTGAATTTTCTTTTTCTTCGAACTTTAAATTATCTATCACAAATTGTTGTTCAGTAAAATACAGTGATAATTAACAAACTAATGCATATCATAGAATAAAATACTGTATGTAAAATGTTAGGCAAATCATAGATTATTATTGCTATTGTTATTTTTATTAGTATTATTATTATATGTGATGTTAATATTATTTATATTTTATTTACATTTTTATAGCTGTCATTATTACTTATCAATATTGTTTAATATTTAACTATGATATTTATCAATATCTCTAAATATTAATACTGTAAAAATTCAATGTTCAATGTTGTTTCGCTTTCGTTTTTAAAGCAGTTTTAATTAGTTACTAGGCTTTTCTGAACTTGAAACAGCGCGTTCTCAAAATGCACGCGGTTATTAGAGGAAGATCTTTCAAGCGAGTTAAAACTTTTTACCTTTGGAATTGAATTAATATTAAGATTAGTTTAGAAATATTACATAAAGAATCATCGTTAAGATAAATAATCATCGTTAAGATCATATTATAATAATCATCGATAATATCATATAAGCATTGAAAATAGTTTCGCAATTTATATATAATACTTTTTATTAAAAATAAAGTAAAAAAGATCAGTCCTTTTAATTTTTTAAATCGTTTACATTTTGTTTGATTTAGTTTTTCTTTTGGCTTTATTTTTTTCTAGCAGTTTTTATTGAGCATATCTTCTATTTTTTAGAAGGAAGATAGAGGTAAGGATGAGGTCTAATTATTTTTTATGCAACAAATAAGTTATACTAATGCTTTTTCAATAAAATTGGTTATTACTACCATGAAATATCTGTGATGCTATTAACTGTTTTTGCTCTTTTTTAGAAAATTTAGAAAAATAAATTGAAATTTCGTGCCACTACTGACATGTCACATGTTATTGTATGTTAAGAATAAATTTTTGTTATGAGAATTACAGTTCTTATGAAAAAAAAAAGGTAAAGAGTATTGTTTGTATATAAATATTTATATTTTGTTTACTTTGAATCTTTTAAAATTTTCTTATGCCATTTTTAAAATTTTTGTTTGCACAATTCAAGTTATATGTTTACTGTTTGCATTGCTTTTTTGATAATTATGTGTATATTGTAAAATGTGCTTTATAGCTTTTTTATCAATATATTTTTATAATAATGTAACTTGTTTTTTTATTGTTTGTGTATGTGTTATTATAAGTTATATAATTGTTTTATAAATGTGTTTAAATATGTTTAAATATGTTTATATAAGGTTAAATATATATATATATATATATATATATATATATATATATATATATATATATATATATATATATATATATATATATATATATAATGTTTATAGTTGGTTTATATGTTTATATTATGTTATTTCCATGTTTTCAAAGTGCTGTGACTTGGTAAACGTGTAAAGCAAGATTTGTCAATCTTGTCAGCCAAGTCATTTACTTATTGCAGAGGGTTACACAGCAGTGTTTCATGTCAAACTTTTACTGTATTTTAATAACATTTTACGTAATGTTGTTACTTATGTTCTGTTA